AAACAAACAGGAAGGCCAATAAGAAACGTTCACGACGTCGCAAGACGACGAAAACGTTCCCCAAGAAGGCAGACGATTGCAAGGTCTGCAATTCTATTGTCGAACAAGTAGACTCTGCTTTCGAATGCAACTTTTGCAGGCAATGGGTACATTGTAGATGTGACACCGGAGTACCAAAAGTATATTACGATTTTATGCGTAAGAACCCATGCCCATGGTTCTGGTACATATGCTCAAGTTGCCGTCCTGATGCAGCCTCGTGTATTTCCTCGAAAGCTAAAGATGGCATAGAGGTATCAGGGAAAAACGTGAAACGGTTTGCTCCCACCAACTCAGAAAACAGCACAATTGCACGTAAATCGGGGATACCAAAATCCACACCGGTTATACTTGCGATTCCTGCCATAACTGCCCCAGACATAGAGGTTGAAGCACCAAGGGTATCTGTCGCTGGGAAAAGACCCTTACCGTCCACCAGTAAAAGTGGCCATGGCACTGCGACACACAATAATACCCAGTTGCATCAGAAGAAACAAAACGGTCTTAAGGAGGATGACAAATGTGCGAGGACCGAACCTAAATCCACGGTCAGTCGATCAAACTGCGTTATCCTCTTTAATGTACCAGACTGTAGCAGTAGTCTGCTGGAAAACAGGGCCCTGTTTGATCAGGAACAGTAGTCCAAATTATGTAGCACACTGGGCCGGGACATCCAACCAGTAAAACTATGCAGATTGTATAGGGGAACTGCTGCTCCTCAAGGCAAACCATCCCCACTGAGGGTAACACTGGGCTCTACCGAGGATGCCGAAAAAGTTTTACCGACTTCCAAAGTCCTTTCTATAGGGGGGACCTGCAATATACGTGTTAGGCCAGATAGGTCATGGAAGGAAAGACAGATGGCGAGGGAGTCGCCAGAGCTTATTCCTTCTGCCTCCATGGTTGTTCACGGCATTCCCGAACTGGTAACTGGGAACGCTTGTGAGAAGCACTGTCACGATGTACAGCAATGGAGATGGTTGGCATCTCAGATGGCTCTGGGAAGTTCAGGGGCTGTCTCTATTTATAGATTGCCTCGACCCACTCACCCTATGTCAATTAACACGCCACGTCTGTTAGCTGTTAAGTTCAGCTCCCGAGACCACTTGACTACTGCTCTCCAGAGATGGCACGAGACCAAGGACAAGGTCAGTAGACACATTCGCTGCTGTGAGAGCCGGCCTCGTACCCAAAGGAGAGAACAAAACGTTGTCATAGAACATCCCCAACCCCTAGTCACAATACAGCGGTGCAGCACGGACGATGATAGCCAGTTTCATCCAAGTGCTCCGATTGAAATAGAAGAAAAAAACGCCAACAGTTCGGTTCCCGAGGAATTGGCCAACTAGTTCGTAGGATAACTCCTCAACCGACAGCCCACAGCTCACGTCAACCACCCCCAATACGGAGACGTGGTGAGACTGACTACCAGTCGCCTGTACAGTAGTGTGAGAAGTCTAAGGGGCAAAATAGCCGAACTTAGATACCTACAATCACAGCTGAACTCCAAAATCATAATACTGACGGAAACCTGGCTAACTCCTACGGTAGTAGACAGTGAAGTCAGTATAAATGATATGGACCTAGTCAGGCGAGATAGGGATCTGAAAGAAGGAGGTGGAGTCGCCATATACGTCGACAAACAGCTCAGATGTGTCCATGCAATCGACCCTCCCCCCATTGAGCTCCCTGACTCCATATGGTGCCATTTCTTTGTTGGGTACTGTAAATATCTAGTGGGCAGCATTTATCGATCACCTTCATGTGGAGCAGACCACAACCAAGTACTGCTGAATACAATTTTAGCGACACAAGACATGGGTTATGATCAAATTGTCATAGCTAGAGACTTCAAAGCCCTATCTCTTAACTTGATGACGGGATATGCCCATGATAGATTTGGTCGAAATCTGCTGCATACCATCAGGGACGCCAGATTCACTGAAAATGTCAAAATGGATGCTAGATGGGGCCCAGATGGGAAGTGTTCTAGACTGGATTATGTGCTCACTAGTGACCAGCTACTAGTAGAAAACGTTCAGATCACGACTCCCATAGGTAGTAGTGACCACGCGGTCATAACATTCGACATAGTCCTCCGCGAGCGTTTACAGTGGGACAGTACACAGCCCTGTCTGTGTTATAGCAAAGCCAATTACACCAAAATGCGAAGACTTTTGTCTGAAGCAAATTGGCCATAAAATTGGACAGAGCTTACAGTAGAAGAACACTGGGAGATCATTCACCAGATCATTCGGACACTGTTCCTTTAGTCACGCCAAAAGCCAGAAAGCAACGTTCATGGCTAAAAAGGGGAACCCAACGCCTTCTACAGGTGAAGCGAAAAGCCTGGTTTGCGTGGCGACTATCGAAGAGTCAACCCGAAAATGAAGTGTACCTCGAACTCAGGAAACGATGTAACATACGAGTCCGGAGTGATAGAAGGACATTTCAGAGAAACCTCGCCAATAAGCTTCTCGTGAACCCCAAAAGCCTATACAGGTTTATGTCTGAAAGAAAACCGACCAGCCAGGGAGCTTGCAATGTAGTGGGTTCTGATGGGAAATCTCCTACTAGTCTTGAAATGGCAGAGACGTTCAGTCTAGCCTTTCACAGGCAACTGAACAGTAACGAGGATTTTACCCCCACAGTGGTTAGGAGTGCCGCTGACCATACACATGGTCCGGGGTTCGATCCCCTGCCGACGCACACCCGATATCTATGGTCGGCCTGCGAAATTCGGGCTACCGATATCCATGCTGAAGATGCCATACTTGTACTGAAAATACGGTGTGGCATCAAGCTGTAATCAAAAATATAAAAATATAAAAAATATTAAAAGAAGATTACAATGCAAGACCAACGTGCGAAAACCTGCTGGGTACATTTCAAATTACCCCGGCTACGGTACTCGTAAAATTGGGGAAGTTGGCTTCGGGAAAGTCTGCAGGTTGCGATGACATAAGACCATCCATCCTGAAGCAGTGTTCAGAAAGTCTCTGCCAACCCCTAAGTGATCTGTTTCAACACTCCTTTGATGTAGGGAAACTTCCATGTGAATGGAAACGAGCCATCCCACCCCCTATCTTCAAGGGTGGTGACCGGCAGAATGCGACCAGTTACAGACCAGTTGCGCTACTCCCAGTGATATCGAAGATATTGGAAAGTCTCATTGACGACCACATGGGAAAATACTTCGACAGGACTAACCTACTCCATGAAGCACAGCACGGTTTCAGGAGGGGAAGATCCTGTGTGACGAATCTTCTACTAACTTGGAACGATTGGACACTATCCTGGGATGTAAAGGTACCAGTCCATGTGATCTTTCTCAACTTTGCGAAAGCATTCGACACAGTTCACCATGGTCTGTTCCTTCACAAAATAAGCAAAGCGGGTGTTTCTGGACCACTTCTCACATGGTTGAAAGAATACTTAGGCGAGAGAGAATTCTGCACCAAAGTCAACCGCATCCGATCATCCTGGCACACCTCGGCATCAGGGGTTCCTCAGGGTTCTGTCTTAGGGCCGTTGATGTTTTTGATTTTTATCAACAACCTGCCCTGTCAACTGAATTGCTCTGCGCTTCTTTACGCTGACGACGTAAAGATTTGGAGAGCAATAAACTCATCGGAAGACTCAGACAGATTGCAGGCTGACCTGCAAACTCTGGGAGACTGGGCTCTGGCTAACGGAATGCCTTTCAACTTAAAGAAGTGCAAAGTAGTGCAACTTCATTCCGGCAGGTCACAGAGTGCAAATTACACCCTTGGTGGCCAGAACTTGAGTTGTGTGACATCAGAACGCGACCTAGGTCTTATTTTAACAGAAAAGCTAGACACCAGTGTAAATTATACGAGGGACGTCGCCAAAGCTAACGCAACTTTACACTTTATGCATGGGCAGCTGGGAGCTCTTATTCCCGAACTATACGACATACGGGAGGCCACTCCTTGAGGTGCATAATATCATTGCTCCTCCGCTACTCAAAAGGGATGCTAACATTCTAGAAAGTGTCCAGAGACGAGCGACAAAATGGGTGATCGGCCTCCGCAACAAATCATATGAGGAAAGACTGAAGAAATTAAGTCTTTTCACACTTAGTTACCGTAGTCACAGGGGAGACCTCATCACCGTCCATAAGATCTTAAACGACCAGGCCCACCCTAATAAAAGCATCCTGCCATTAAGTGATTGTAGGCTTCCACGAGGTAATTCGCTAAGGATAGCACACCAGAGACCAAAGACTCGAGTGCGTTCACATTTCTTCTCGCTTCGAGTTTGTCGTTTCTGGAACGCTTTACCGGCGGCCGTAACTACAGCTCCATCTGTGGAGACTTTTAAGCGGAAGCTGGACAATCATGCACGACCCGTCCTGTCTTCTCCCACTGCACCGACTACTCTATTTTTTCTTTCTTTCTTTATTATTTCACCTTTATTATTTCACTTATATCAACCTATATTATCTACACTACAACCTATTATTATTATTCTACTCTTATGACTACACAGAATGACCAACGGGTGTTAGGTCAAACTCCATTCACGGCAGCAACTGAGTCCTAACATACTTCACACTACAAACCACAATCTTGACCAATCCTCGCACCACTCCTCTTGGAGTCTACCAGAGCTAAAGCAGTCGAGTGGCGGGATTTACTATGCATAAGTTCACCGAAGATCTGGAACATCTACCTTACAATCAAGAAGCGAGCTCAAAGAAATCATTGGTTTATACTAGCTCGTAATCAGGATATTGGATATTGGAATAGACTGTACCGATTCATGTCGGAGACGAACTATTCAGAAGTTTAACGAAGACCAGGAACCTTTACCTCAAAATCAAGAGGTCAGCATAAAGAAATGAAAATGGTTTATACTAGCTTGTAAAAATGATATTGGATATTGGATACTCTCATGAATGTAGCACATAAGACATAGGGTAGCGACAAATAGTTACCCGATAATTTGAATCCTTAGTCATGAACGCTCCCCTTACATTTGTGGGCAGAAAGAGTAAATATTATAGGGACCACTATTATCCTCGTGAAAGTAAGAGATATCCTTTGAGTTTACTTATATAGCTAATCATGCTTTCGAAACACTGCATGATGCCCTTCAAAGTGTGAAACGATCTCAAGATGACAAAACTAAAATTTTGCTATCACCGTAATATTATCTTATAATTACATCAAGTCTTAGGAGTGGGAGTTACAGAATATGTGGTAAAATAATGGCTGCAGCCTATTCTCAACTGTGTCCAGAAAAGATGTAAGCAGAAGCTAATGTTACATTCAAGATATTGTTTCAGAAAACGTATATTTATTTTCGGAAGACAGACTAATTTTATGCCTTATAAATGTGGTCTATCTAATTTCGACCACCTGGAAACCCCTTTAGGCAGAATCATGGTCGACAGAAATGGTAAGAGATTACAGTTTTAACTGAATAAACTTACTTTTTATTGTGATATTTCCTTGTAATTCGTTCAACTTTGAGATTGCTTGAAGTTAACTATCATGAATTAATTGAGCTGTTGCCATATTGTCCCACAGAATCTCGTAAAAAGTCAATTAAAATAAGATTAGGATAATACATACTTTGGTACAGTAAGTGAAGATGCATCATTAACCCCTAAATTCTAATACTCCTAGCCCAAGACATACAGGGAAGTGTGATCCCGAAAATTTTGAGCAATACAGATTGGAGAAGCCTGTTGCTGTAATCATAATGGTTAAAATATATTTACACTTTATTTAATTTCTGAAATTTTCTCATTCTGTGTAAGTTATTTTCTTTCAAACATATAAGCTGACAGAAGTGATAAAGCGATTGTGTTTTCGCTTTATTCATACACTGCATTTTAATATGAGAATGTGGGCTTTTCTGATTCTGTGAAAAGTTGTAATTACGTCTATCACTTATCAGTTTATATTGCAAAGATCTATTTGGACACAATTCCTTAATTATCGTCCAATAGATAGGTTGTTGCAGAAACAAATATAGCAGCATAAATACTCCAAACCTCTTAGCAGGTAATAACTACGAATGTACAATTTTCTTAAAACTTTCCAAATTTTTCCATGTTTTTCTATTTATTTCCTGGCCGTCAGGATAGGCGGGATTATTTTACGTGTAAAATATGACAAGAAGCAGTTAAATACTATACACAATTTGGATTTCTGAATTTTTTGTGTATTACAATAAGAATCTTGACACTCATTAGCTACTGAGCACCACAGACGACAGGCTCTACGTGCTTCCGATTCAGAACGAATATACTGTTTCCTTCTCTACAATTTCAAAAAACCAGCTGGCTGTTCCAAAGAATCAGGTGACTCTTAGGCTTTCATTGAAAAATGCGTTACTCAGTAATAGTAATACATGTGGGCATTTAAGCAAAGTATCTTTAGATCCCAGAAAACTCAGGTTACTAAATGTACTAGTAAAATGACCGCTTACTTATCTGTACTAACCCAACAAAGCAATGAAACTGTATCGCAGAAATTTATATTTTAAAATCTTACCTGGGGTCTCGATTCTCACGTGATTTTGTTGTATACTGATTTTAACGGATCCAAATGGATTCCATTACCTAGATAAATGTAATAACATTTTTTCACAAAATGCCATATTTCTTCGTTTCTAAAGAAAATTAACAATTTTGCCATTTCCCTCAATTCCTCTCTGAAAACAAACTCACCCATTGGTTCTTATCGTCTTCGTACTTGACTTTCTATATAACCAGACAACGGTCAAACGTTCGTGTATCTGTTTTGTTTGTAGTCTTTGGTGAACAAACATCCCACCAACTTAGTGAGCTGCAACATGATATCTTCCAGTACAATGATCCTTTAGTAAATATTGAATTCTATTCATTATGCCACAAATAGATCAGTCTGACAAATTATATTGACAATGTATATTTTAAACTGTTGCATGTCACTAACAATTTTAGTTCGGGCGTTCTAGAAGGCTAACCATGGTGCTGGTAATTAACATAAACTCATAAGTAGAAACGAATGATCTTAGAAATTGATTTAGAAATAAAATCTACACAAGAAAAATAAAAGTGAAAATAACGTTGAAACATGTGAAATGCAAACTTCATAAAAAATCATCCTGTGTACTGATTGTTTGAAAAAATAGTTGAATCCGGAAAGTTGTAGTACTTACTTTATTCTCAGGATCTATTTTACGTATTTTACATAATCTGAGTCAAGTTAAAGAGAAGTGATCTAGGAGAACTAACACACCAATGACCAATGACACACAAAGAGGGGAAGCTCGTGAAACCGGATAAAAGGCAGTGTATTCATTAAAAATATTGAAAGAAGTGTAAGAATACCAGAGAAGGTGTTTGTTTACCTTAGAACTAGGTTAAGTTTAATTATAGGCGACAGGAAGATCAGGGGTTTTTAGGGAAAGATTATGGTTAGGATAAAGTTAGGGACGCGAATTTACTTTGGCCTTTTCAAGATGTTTCATGCCTTCATTCCCTTGGGCTTCTGTTCTTTAGACTTTTCTAACAGATATAGTGTTGTTTACCTCGTCTCACTGTCTTGGTCTGATTGTACGTTTAAAGGTAATTGGTATGTTTGTTCTCTCAAATAGCCATCCTTTAACTTCACCTTAATTTGCTTAAATTTTCACTTGAAACAAAAGGAAAAAAGATTGTCCAGATTGTTTTCTTTGAACGCATACACAGAGAGTAATTCTTCAGTAGGTCACAAAAGTTTCTAATTGCTAGTTATGCCAGTTTATGCAATATTGGTTAAGAATGAGCCGATTTTTCAACACAGTTGTAGAAGATTTAAGTGCCTAATCGTGTACATGATCCACGATTCGACCCTTGGAGTCAGCGCATAGGTAGCTATTTACACTCACATCAAGAGAATGGAATTTCGAGTCATAATCCATTGGATGAATTTCTACTTTACAGATTAACCAGTCATGGATGCAGTAAAATAAATCAAGAATAACATATAAAATGATTTTCAAAACTAAGTGTAATCTAATTACAACAGAAATGGTTTTATTTAATTATTCCATGTTTTCTTCTTTCTTTCTTTCTAGTAAATCAGAAACTGTTAAAAAGTGATGATTTCAGACTACTTGAATCAAACAACGATCATAAAGAACAGTTTATTGAAATGCAATTACCGTTTATAGCAAAAATAATGGAAAAGTAAAAATATTGTATATAATACACTTTGTTTAAGTTAATTTTTTATTTCCCTTTTAATTGTTTATATTGGGCTGAAATGTCCCATCCATCTCGACATGTCGGCTTCCAGTACGGACGCACCAACAATGTCTGCGGATTAACATAATGTTGTTTCTGATGGATGGTGACTAGTGGTGGAATTCAGAGTAACACTTCGACTTATTTTGGACACATCCAGATGATAAGCTCCGAATAGGAAGAAATACTCATTCTGGATTCCATGGCGAGTCACCATCTACCAAAATATTGTTTCTTTTACTTTGTTTAAGTCAGATACCTTCTTATATATTTTTATATTGCAGTCGAAAGTATCTATACACAGTGATACCAGTCTATATTGGTGCATTGTCCCATGAACAACAAAGATATATAGCGAAGCATTTTTTACCCTATCTAAATGATCCATCCAATGTATTTATCTTTTCTGTTAGTCTTATTCATTGGGGTGAGTCAAAAGAAAACATCTGCAGCATTTTAAAGTTTGTATTATATCCAGCTTATGTTTCTTGGCTAATCTGTAAAAGAAAGGCAGAAGAAAATAAGCTACACATTGAAGCGAATTCAGCTTATACTACAGTCTGCTTTCAGTCACGAGAAGTTTTAAATCAATGCGGAATTGAGATAAAAGGTAGAATACTTAGCCTAGTTATATTTACTGAAGAACAATACACCTGTGTAATAAAGGAGGTAAAGTAGAACTGTTAAACAATGGAATAAATTTCCTTTATATTTTTAAATCTGATATGATTTGATGAAAATATTTTATTTAATAATGTATAATAATGTAATAACTCATGTATTCTAATCAATCTTCTCTGGATATCTCAAAAAAATGACTACCATTATATTAAGTAGGCCTTTGGAAGCTATAAGAACGGTCAATGATGTATCTTTTACCTGACTGACTGGTTTCAACATAGAAATTTGCACCGATGTGCAGCAGTTCTAGTCGCCACACTTCACCTAGCACACAAAGCAAGAGAAGAAAGTAAAAAGAAATGAAAAATAGAGACAGTAAACAGAGATATGAGGCAAAAATAGTGATATCGAAGAACAATATAGTTTTGTTGAGTATTATAAGTCACAAGGAGTGGATTCATTTGCACCACTGAGAATGATTTTGAGCCATATCACCGATTGTCTCCAGCCATTGGTTTCTACCGTCCCGAGGACCCCAACCAGGAAGTCTACACCTCCATACGTGGCTGGCTTGAACTAAATGTTGTGGTTTCAACTGACTGATGAAGTCATGTTTCGGTTTGACCACCACTGGCTCCTTTCCAACCTGACCCTATATCAACAATCATTGCCCGTCGAGGAAGGCGATGGCTAGGCATACGTAACACATATCCTAACCATCCCAGTCGATTTAACTTCACAACCTCGTATGTTGATTTCCGCTCATTACCTAACACTAGACCAACACCTAACGTCAATATTGCTCATCCTACTATACCACTTCACACGGGAGATAGAACGCAAGCACCTATGATCAAAGACAATAGTCAAGTTTCTCATGTCTTCCACTCTCAGTGGTCAGGTTTCACAGCTATAGAGGAGGACGGAGCGGGCTACAGAGCAGTACACACATCCTTTGGTCAATAGTCAGCTGGATATCACGTCTACACCAGAGACAGCGTAAACTGGCATGTGCGAAACTGGCCTTTTACTTAGGTAACTGATATTGTTTTCAACCAGCATTTTACTGCTTGCAAGAAATTTGTTAAGGTCATGTTGAAGGATGCTGAACATCCATCTCCTTCACATTTGCAACTTTCTTCCTGTATCTCTTCGAGGAGAAATAAAAGATACTTCATAAGAATTTATGCACATATGGCTAAATATAAAAAATTTCAATCACAACATATTTAGTGTGGGTGTTGTGTGAAAACATAAATGTCAGAAAAGAACTAATAAACCGCCTTCATGGTTTGCAAATAAACAACAATTAATTTCTAGCATTATCATTATTATATACATTTTATCTTTCTACTAAATTCAGATCCTCTGGTTTCATCAGATCTATTATTTTGCTTGTTTAATTATCTGTAAGAGGAGACAAATTGCTGTGGTACGTGCAGAGCAAAACATTTCATTCTCAATAAAAATTATTGTTTGGGTATTATTATCGCTATATATTTATTAATGTTCCCTTGGGTCCAGAGGGGAAAACTGGGCTCCAATAGTAAATCATTCACTTTGTCCTATTATCTGCATTCCACTTAAGATGGCTTCTTGACTACTCATAGTCTCTGATCTCTTCCTCACACGATCTCCTCCGTGTCATCCTCGGACGCGCAACTAGTAGTTCCCCATTCGGGTCCCACTAGATGTAATTCGACAGTATCCTCAGCGAGTTTCCAATCCATCTCCATTTTATCCTGAATATTTGTTGAGCAGTAGGTTCTTAATTGGCTGATTCTCAGAGTATCTTATTGCTGATTCTTTCGAGCCATTTGATCTTCAGTATGGAGCCAGTGAAGGCATCCCTTGATGAAAGTCCTTAGCAGTCTGCTGGAAATGCTTTCCATGACACCCTAGTCAAGTTTCTGACCCATACTGAGGAAATGAATTAGCATTGCAGTTGCAGAAACCAAATATTAAGTTAGTTTGAGACAAGGCGATAACTATTACTGTCATGTTATCACTATTATTCCCATGGATTACGAGTGAAACATAGAGCTTCACCAGCACATCTCCGTTTCATCCTGTTCTCCGCAATCGTCTTTCGCTAGCTCCGGTATAATCCACAAGCTTTTATTCCCTCGTCAGACGATCTCCTCCATGTCATTGTCAGACCCTAGGCCAACACGTCGTTTTGCATTCGAGTTCTGCTCTCGAGCCTGGCGCATATGCCTAATCTATGTCTGTTTCCTTCGGCATATTTGCTGAACAGTAGGTTGTGGATTCGTTTATTGCCAGAGTTCCTTTTTGCTGATCTTTTCAGATTTTCTGAAAGCTGAGAAGGAAGTACCTAATGATGAAAGTCTTCAGCAGGCTACTGAAAATATTTACGGTGACATGTTAAGACTCTGAAGCACACAGTGGCAGTGAATTGACATTCCAGTCATATTGCTTATGGTGATTGCATCGGATTTCTAGAATTATAATCAACTATATTCTTAATTGACTAGTTATTTTTCATGATCCTTACTAAAATAAAAAATAATGTGTTTTTTAAAATTATTTTTATTGATATATATATATGTTAATTTAAACAGGTGAAATATATGGCATGAATACAATTCATCCTGAGACCACTTCAGTTTTAGAGACAATTAAAAAACTCGATGATTTAGCCATCACTGCCTTATCTTCATTACGGTTTAAATCATTTGATGAATTTCTATTGGATACAAAATCATGCGTTTATGACTATCAAGTGTATAATATATTCTTATGGATGATGCAACAATTTCTTGATGAAGATTTATACTACCTTAGGAATTTAGATGAAGAGAAAGCTAAGAAAGCAATGAGAAAGACAGCGAATTTTTGCTTACAAGGACAAACATGGTCATTTCCATCTGTAACAAAAGATGACAGTTGTATATCATTTATTTCAGCAAGTATAATATTCGATGAAGAAAAGTATATTCCAGATGAACCCTTACCATTGAATCCTTTGGATAAATGTGTTTGAAAGTTATTGACGTAAAGTCCACTTTTTCAGATCTTTATTATTCTTTTAACAAATCCACATCACTTTCTTTTTGTATATAAAACAATAATTCATATGATCATACAGAGATCACTGAATATTGTTTTTTTTTCTTTTGCAAATATTTTTTTTGGTTTAAATAAATGCTAAATAATAAGCTGTGTGGTTCTGTATGATTCGGGAGGGAATCATGGGCATTTATCTGTTGAGATATGACCCCTATCGAACAGTATCTTTCTTATTATCATGCTTATAATATTGCTATTATTGTTCCCTTAGGTTCTGAATGGAAAATAGGGCTTCCACCCTCATTTTTCAACATATTTGTTAGGCACAAGTTTTCTGATTGGTTGTTTACTAGAATTTCTTGTTGCTAATTATTTCCCACAGGCTATCAGATCTTTAGGATATAGCCAGCTATAGCAGCTGTTGATAAGAGTCTGCAACCTGTTTGAAATGATTTTAACGATGAGAGCGCCAAGTTTCTGAAGTATGTAGAAATAGTGACTGACTTAACATTGGTGTTAAAAGTACGTATTTTGTTCTTCATGCTGAGCTCAGCAGATTTCCCAATATGATTTCAGAGTGACGAAGGTCCGTTTTTGCCTTTCCAATTCTGAGTTTGACTTCGTTATTGGTGCCGCCTTTAGTTGAAACGATGCTGCCTCGATAAGTAAAGGAAGTGGTAGTGACTGATGCTCGTTGTTCTTGTTGTTGCTGCTGCTGGTCAGTCATCTTCATCACCTCTGGCTTCTCTATATTCACTTGAAGTCTTGTTTTTGCCACTGCTTCTTCTTCTTCTTCTTCTTCTAAATTTTCAGCTTTCGCCAGTAAGTCTTTGAATTTATATGACATTGGACATAAATTTTTCATGACGTCCAGATCTTCTAGAATCTTCCTACCGATCCGAAGTATTCCTGCTTTCCCACTCCCAAATGCCTGTTGCATAATTCAGTCCACTACAGTCAAGAATATCCCCGATTATAGTAGGCAGTCTTGTCTTTCTCCTGTCTTCATTTCAAATGCCTTTCTGAGTTTTTCATTGCAGACTGCTTGACATTCTATATGTCTGTTGCTGTGATATTGTCACTTTAAAGGTAGTTAATCATAATGCGCTGAGTGGTATTTTCACCTTATTTTGAACTTCATAGCTCCATAATGTTGTTGGTTCTAAATATTATTTCAATCTATCAAACATAAGGTCAAATAACAATGTTATTGGGTATGACATCACATTCTACTACTTCTAGTTACAATAAGCTCTTTATTGATTGAATATATAACGTCCAATTACATTAATAACGAAGAGTGTAAGTTCAGTAGACGAAGAGGAGGAACCCTTATGCAGCGAAATTTTTACACTTGGTATCACTATCGCACGGAGAGTCTTTGTATAGTCTCCGATTGACCAAAAAGCGTCATCTTTCAAAGGTACGTTAAAAGTTATACGGCTTAAGTGTTGGACGGAGTTTACGGTTGTTTGTAAAGTTTCAAATCTATGAAGAACTTGAGGTCTTTTTAGTCTTTCTAAGAAGAAAAAGACACTTCAATGAATAAAGTCAAACCATAAGTAGCAGTATCACTTTGAATAAGCAAGCAGATGCTAACATCTACTTAGTTGTCAAATGTTTACTTATGTTTATTATGTGGAATTTTGGAGGATACATTTAGCATAAACATATATTTTTACATTGCTAAATTTAGGAGGTATCAAAATATTCCTTTTAAATGATATGAAACTTGTTTAACATTTTTGTGTACAATCAACTTACACGATACATTCACAGTAAATTGTTTTCTATCCCTTTGCGCTTTCTGTGGAACAAAGGGCTTCGAGCGTGTGCTTTGAAGTTTCAGTGGGAGTGGCGTCTATTTATTTATTTTTGATTATAGCTTGATTCCACACCGTATTTTTGGTACAAGTATGAAATTTTCAGCATGTTAAATTAGTAGCTCAAATTTTGCAGGCTGAGCAATTGTTAACAGATGTGCGTCAGCAGGGGATCGAACCCCGGACCATGTGGACGGTCGGCGAGCTTCCTAACTGCTGTACCACCTAGGCACAGGGGTGATGTTACTAGCTTCACACCTAGCCTTTCCTGTTTATGAGGCTTACTACCGGTCAAGGTTAAGGAGTGAGTTAGTTGGAGATCAAATGTCGGATCACGTGAGTGGTTGGCGAGTAATGTACCAGCGAAACACCAACGCAATATACACAGTGAAAGTCTCACATTCTTACAGTGATTGCACATAGCAAGTAGTACGACAATATCTTCCTGTGTTATAAGCACTCATTTATTGAGCGACCGCTTTCACGGCAAGATTCTGCTCTTCTCACTTCAACCTGCGTAAGTGGTTTCATTATTATTGTTCCTCCGGGTGCCGAGCGAAAAACAGGGATTCAACAGTATATCTCTATCTTGCTCTACTCTTTGTAGTCCTCTTTAGGTGGCCCTAAGATACCCCATAGGCTGTCATCTCCTCCTCACACTACCTCTTCCATGTAACAAACGGAAGCGCAACTCATCGTTACCCATTCGGATTCCGCCTGGGCAGTGGGCTGGTACGCTATGTCATTAAACGTTCTCAACATGTGTCCGATCCATTTTCATCTTCTTCAGCATATCTGTTAAACAATAGGTTCCCGATTGGCTTGTTAACATATTTTTTTGTCGTCAATTGGTTTCTGGTTGGTCATTTGATCTTCAGTATGGAGCTAGCGAAGACAACTGTTGGCATAAGTCTGCAACTCGTTGAAAATACTTTTCATAAGCCTACACAAGACAAATTTATCTCACAGATCAGAATATAAATCTTTAACTTGAAATAAAGTGTGTTATCATATACAGATGGTTAAGAGTTAATAGCACACTCGATAATCACAGGCAAAGGGCAAATTGAACACAAATACAATGATAAAACATATAAATGGAGTGAGTGTAGAAGAAATTAACTTATGCTTACCAATGATCATTTCTTCTTCAGCTAACTGTTTAGATGTCATTAAACAGACAAAAGTTCAATAAAGCTGTCTAAAAAGAGTAAATGGTTAAGCTAGAGCATATTCAGTAGACTTCATCTATAATGGAGTACGATTCGCTCTGTAGTGTTTTCGGTATTTAGATTTTCACGATATTTTCCCAATAATGAAGACTACACAAATACAAATTAATTTATGAAGATTTTGAAATCACTTTCTCTGAACTATCTGTTTCTTCTCTACAGCTTAGATTCTTTATTAAATAAAGAGATGGTCATCCACTGCTGAAGAAATCGAAATAATTTACTAAAAGTAATACAAACCATGGGAATAATAAATCTATAACGAGAAGCAGATATGATAGTTGAAATAAATGGAATAATGAAATAAAGTCAGTGAGATACTATTCCGACTAGTGATAGAATTTTGTAAATTCAGAGTAGGGTACACTGATGAGGTAACGACAGAAGACAAGGATCAGGCAACAGATCGCTTACTGAGAAAATCAAGGGGTATTTATAGATTTTTATGTACATTATTATTAGCGTTATTGTTAGCGGAGAAGCAACCTCCTCTGACTGGTGTTTTCTTGCTGAAGGTTATTCTGTACTTGCTAGTGACCGTTTCTTAGAAAGTCAGGTCATATATTTGCGAATCATATTTGCACATGTTAAGTCTGTTGTGATTGGTTGGTGAGTTCCCTACAGTTAAGCTATATTAATGTTTTTTCTCATGACCCTGCTTCGGGACGTAAACATTGACGTAAATTGTTGTCTACAATTTTGGCTAGCAGACAGCTCTCACCACAATTAAAGTAATGTGAAACAATTGAAACTGAATCCATTGACAAATATAGTTATTAAAATAACTGTTAGGACGGATAATTTATCGTTCTTAGCTATGAATTTACGATTGATGCACGCACTGACATGACAACCTTTTCGGACAGTTTTTGACTTGTTTGTCTATTTACGGAGGATCTTCAGGGTGATGATGTCAGTCTGATATTGATTATCTATTTATGGTCTGAATTTCCGTGGTTGTGTAAAAACGATATATGTAACCCCTTTTCTGAATATTAAAGTCGTTGTGGTAGCGGTTAAATCAGACTTTTGTGTCTCACTCACTGTGCAGAACGTTTATGAATAATGAGTGTTTTGTCTGGAGACGCATCTTAGACAACTTGTAACACTGTTACAACGACAATATATACCGTTGTCAATTGAGATTAAGACCTATATATTATTAGTGAAATTAAATCGAAAATGTGAACGCGCACGGCTTTTTCTTGTTTTTTCAGTTGTGTCTAACATATTTACATGCTAATTAAAGGTAAGTATATGTTGTGAATAAATAGTTCAAACATTTTTAAACTCAAGCGAGGCACTGCAAAATTTCCATACTTTTCAAATCAACAGTCGAAGGTTATATGAGTCTATTGCCTTTCTTCTAGGCCAGCCTTAACTTTTCTTAAATTGCTATAACTTTAAAAAGTAAATCACATCAAAGAAGTTGATGAATAAGTACGTGTAACAAATGTCCTAGACACCTTATCTGTGTCAAGTCGATAACCTTGCTAACCAACTTCTGTTGTAGGTGATCTAGATTACGCTACTACACCATCATTCCGTCGCTGTGTAAAACATGAGCTGTGGTGAGATCTATCAACTTCTCATCAGTAATTTACAAAGCTTTCATATTTTGTTTGGTATTTATCTCACAAAAATGGATCAAGATAAAATAGACAACTACATTCTAGTCAAGATTTGGTCGATAGTCAGTTAGATGTACCATCAGCAATTAGTATCTTCACTTCAACTTCACCAATAACTGAACCATATTAAGGTTGATCGGATAAGTGTCTAAAACTTCTTTCAGTGATGATAATCTTCTTTTACTGAATATTTTGTCTATTTACTCCGTACAGTATCTTTCTGTAATAAGCTTAAGACCACACCACAGAACATTGATCACTTCAGAGACATCTAGACAATCAGCTGAAGAAGGAGAATCAGAAATATGAATAAGCTTATTTCTCTACTTACTTTATCACCATAGTCGTGTTCACTTTTCCAACTCCGAGCGAAATATTGAAAGGCGTCGTACCGGAACAACATGATCTGGATGCTAAACCCCGCCTCAAACAAGCTGGATTCATGAAAAGCAAATCAAGTGCAGATCAAATCGCTACTTCACGCATCTTTGTCAAATAGAGAATGGCATAGCAGCCAACTCTCTGCCTCAACTTCGTTGAATTTTAAAACGCCTTAGATGTCGTCGAGCTCCAAGCGATCTGGGAACTACACTAAATTTTTATCAACTTCATTCAACAACTGACGATATGAATATGTCACATGCAGCGCGATCACAACAGAAGTCTCAGCAACGCATCTGAAGTGAAGACCGGAATAAAAAAAGGATCCTTACTGTCACCGATAATATTCCTGATCGCAGTCAACTGAATCATGTGACAGACAGTGAGAAGCTAGGAGACAGAGTTACGTTGAACCAAAAGGAAGACTAAAAGATTTTTACTCTGCAGAGGATTTATATCTAGTGTCACGCAGACTAGAAGATGTACAGCCGAAAACCAACAAGTTAGTAGAAGAGGCAGGCAGTGAGAACAGGATTTCACGTGAACAAAAAGAAGACGAATTCTATGAAGATGACCAACTAAATATAACAAAAATTAAGTGTGATGAGAGCTGGCTGCTAGCCAAAGTTGCTAGACAGTAATTTACGTCAATGTTTATGTCCCCGATATTGGTGGTGAGAAAATGAGAACCAACGCTTTGCGTAGGCGGATACAGTTAGCATATGGATGATCTGACACAGCCACAAAGAGATGCAAGGTTAATTTTCTGTGAGAAACAACCAATCAAAAGACTGTATTTTCTACTAACAATAATCTACAATAATGTACATTAAAATCTATAAATATGTGTTGATTTTCCTTAATAAACGATCTGTTGCCTGACCCTTGTCTTCTGTTGTTACGTTAGCACCAATCACTATCAATGGGAGAGATTTGAATGAAGTCATCTATGCAGGTGGCCTCATTTCAACTAGATGCTACATCAATCAGGATTTCAAAGGCAGGGTTCGAAGATGAAGAAAGACCTTCGTTAATGTGAAATCAGAGTAGAAATCTATCTCACTCAAGAAAAGAAACAATATCTGGATCTTCAGCACTAATTTCAAGTCAGTGATTCTATACGGTTCTGAGACTTGATGCGTTGTGAAAAGCATCTCCAAAAGGCTATGAAGACTTTTATCAACACGTGCCCTTACTGGCTCCACACTATAGATCAGGTGGACTTAAACTATCCACAACATGGAACTCTGCTAACGAACCAACAAAGAACCTATCGCCCAAAAAAATATGTAGAAGGAAATGGAGATGGACACTAAAGTGACTATCGAGTATCATCACGTGCCAGCTCCTGAAATGGAACTCGAACGGGAAACCACAAGTTCGAGGGTGACATAGAGGAGACTGTGCCAGCGGAAGCCAGCTTAAAATGACTGTAGAGAGGAGAATGCAATGTAGGTGCACTGGTGAAGAAGTATTTTCTGCTCGAAACCCATAAGATTAATAAATAACTAAATAATCGAAAGCAAACTATCCGGACGCACAGTACACATAACAAATATTTTATTAGAAACGTGATCACGAAAATTTTTCAGTTTTAAAGCTTTCCTTTATTCCTGTAAACGTTATCTTCACTCTGTCTTTGTTAGTAAAGCAAAACAACGACAAGCAATACACGAAAATGATGTAATTCAAATAAAATGATTAAAATCAAATGCAATTTGGGGAAAAATGTCTCACAGATTTAAATGAAAGTTATTTTTGTCTTTTTCAAGAAAGGAGTTTCCGTTTTACTTTAAATAAAGTAGTAAGTGAAATTAAAGTCAAACATTCTAGCCGTTTTCTCTTTTTTTGGAGAAAAAACTTCCAAACAATTGAATGTATTCTGGATGACAGTAGAAAGAACAGGAGAGAAAGATTATCACGACTCAGTCGTTAACATATATTTGTATAGAACTGGAGATGATTATACATGTAAATATATATATGCATAAACAGAAGGAGAGAATGAGTCCATGGTTTCATTTGTTACGTAAGTAATCTACGGAGTTGATTGTCTATTTCATCTTCAACTTCTGAGTAGTTTATCTGTGAGATCAGAAAAGGAAATGTAAAAAGATAAAACTTCAGTATATCACAGATTATGTATAAAGTAGTATACTTGTAACGGGAGAAGTTGAGAGATTTGGCTAGGTCAGAGGAGAATAAAGTATTCTGATTGGTCGGCTATTGGATTAAGGTTGAATAAGTTGTCCAATGAGGTTATTTCATTTCCACTGTGTAAACTAAATGCAGACTTGATGGATAAACACTTCTGTCTCTGCAGCTATCGACTTAAAATGTTGGTATCAGTTTTGGCGGCTTCTTATCAATCTGCATTACGCTACATACTAAGAGATACTGGTCCAAAGAAGTGACTGCTGTCTACTCGTCTGTTGTTTTATACATAAAGTCACCTTGTTTCCATTCATAACTCTAAGCATATAAAACATAAAGTTTTGAATGCTATCGGTTTTTAAGAGAGCAAAACGTTATCTATGAATTGAAAGATGATACTGCAAGATTCCTCTGTGTATCCGAATTTCAAACATTTATTTCTCGATAGGAATTTAAAACAAGCAACAAAAGTTAATAAAGCAGGATTAAATGAATTCATTAAATTTCGGTGGAACTCTTTAGCTGCATACTATACATACGACGGTATGAAAATAAGATAAAATGCATTACGGTTCAATTTCATCACTTAAATAAACAAGTATTTATCAGTGAATGAAAGAACTTCACTTAGCTTCGAGGTTGTTTTGGCTATAAAAGAAGGGTTTTTTACTAACAAAATTACAGAAGCTCATCATGGATTTGTCAAATTTTATCGTCAGTGGTGTAGACATGATTTCCAGATACTAATCAAAAGAATGAGTGTACAGCACAGAAATTATTCCTGTCTTAATTGAATTGACATCAGGATAATGAAAAGTGAAGTTATGAAAAGATTGAGGAGTCTTTGATTACAAATGCCCTTGGCTAACTTCTAGTGTTAGGTAGAGCAGAAACAGTGTAGTCAAAAGATCAGTAGGTTGAAATGGCTATTCGACAAAAATACTATCTAAAGTATAATTAAATTTTATCAAAAAATTTAAAGGTAGTCAGACCCATAAAAATAATCCGTTGATGAAGTTATTCACTACTGGTCTAAACCAATATAAGAAAGAATAGATTTCCTGATTGAGGGTGTTAAAATTCTCGAAAAATCAGTGGTTGAAGGCTCTTTGTGACAAGGTGCGCAATAATCCATAATGTTGCCGATATGCATTCACTACTTGTTGCTTTCCAAATCTTCAGTATTTTTAACAACTTTCATTTCGTCCTCCTATTGCTGACTCTTTTATCGGGTGTTCTTCCTTTTACAATGCTTTCTAGGGTTGATTTTTCCAGATGTGGAAGTTTGAAATGGTGCGCTCCTATGCATATGTCTCTCATGTTTAAGTTTATCAAACAGTAAAAAATATACTGAGAGATCGATTTAGGCATTTAGCGTTTTAAGTGATATCACTTCACCTAAGTATAAGAAGTTATCAGTAACAAAAGTGGGGAAGTATATGGAAATGAGAAAAGGCAAACGGATGTTGATGCAAGAAACAAAACATATGCAACAATAAACATTAGACAAATAGGTGAAAAGTGGATAAGTATTTTAAACCTTGATGGTCATATCGGCAGTTGCACAAACTATTCATGAGTAATCCTCATCCAGGCATTTGTGAAAACAAAACAAGTAGTTCAGAGAAGAGGCCTTTTTCGGCGAATCCATCTTCTTTAGCTGTACAATCGAATTTACAAGTAATTTTTCATAAAAGAGGGAAGTAACAAAATTAGTGAGTTGTCAGGATCATAGTTGGTAATATTATTCGATGCATAAGAAGAGTTGAATAAGTGTTTTAGAGATGTGTAATAAAATGGGTAATTTAATGAATGAGTACTGATCAGGATGCGTATAGAAACGATCAGAAAAATGGAATTATGTAAGAGTTCTCAAGAAATGAAAGAATTAGAAGGGATTAGAAGAACAAACATTGAAAAAATCTAGTTAGTGGAAATCAACAGGGTTTTTATCATGATAGTACGTGGAGCTCCCGTTTCTCCAACCAAAAGGCTAAGGCTTTAGCAATGTAAAAGAAACGGAAGCCTATTTTCTTCGGCAGGTTGTTCTTCACTTTGTAGATTACTTTGAAGAAGGTGTTTGTTGAGATGAAATGGTCAGTGTTGACGAGATGTTCAGTTATCTCACTTCTTGTAGAGCCACTACTGTCTTTCTGCAACCATTCTCAATAGTCTCCTCAGTGTCTATCCGATTCATCCCTATTTTCTCTAGAATATTTATTGAGCGATAAGTTCTTGAATGATGTGTTCGAAAAGTTTCTTGTTGTTATTCACTCCTAGCTGGTGACTTGGCGTTCATTATGGAGCCAGTAAAGGCAGCTGGCTGTTGAAAATGCTCTCCGTGACTCAGCAGTCAAGTTTCCAACCCGTATAGAAGAACTTACCTAACACTGTTGTTGAAAGTCTGAATCTTTTTTTTTACGCTAAATTCTGGAGATTTCTACACTAATTATAGAGTGATAAAGGTCTGTGCTGCCTGTCTGCTACTGAGTGGCTTTGACATCCTCACCCATGCTGTCACCTGTTGTAGAAATGATAGTTATTTGCGCTTGATGGGGTTGTTTGCTTGCCTTCTTCACCTTCAACTTCTCTATGTGTAAGTAAAGCTCTGTCCTTGCTGACACTTCTACCAACTTGCTGGTTTTTGCCTGCAAGTCTTCGAATTTATATGACATTAGGCAGCTATGCCATCATATAATAATAAATAATAAATAGCAAATCTGTATTGAAAAGCTAAGTTCTCAGACAAATAACTAAATATCAACATGAGATTTTCTTTGGAATGATATGTACTTGCATATCCTGTAAGAAAGAAATAGTTATTACACTTATGGAGAATTTTTTAAAACCTCATTTCATCTTAAAGTCAGTGTTGAAGATGTTGTTTAGGACGATAACGAACACTCTGTAATTCAACTGTTCAGTTCAGAGGACATAACTACACCAAAACCGCCTATGAAGTTTAATTCATTAACAAATTATAAGGATAGACACAGAACATACAAGATACATAATTGTGGTTGACATTCTACTAACACAAAATGTAAGTAGCTGCTTAGATAAGGAAAAAATTCTTGCGAAACCGTATACCATATACATATTCAGCTTAACCTTAAAATCACTTGCTTTATTTTGCATGCGCTTTCCTGATATTTGTTTATACAGAACCGTATTTTAAACAAAACTAATGGCGATATAGATTATGTCACAAACCACTATCGGTCAAGGAACCAATGGAAACGTAGAAGCTATCTTGTTCTAGTTCTGAACTTTTTAGCAGCCCATATCTATGGCCCTAGTATGGAATGAAACTAAGACCTTCAAGTTACAAAGCCAGGCCATAGACCATTTAACCACTGGGTCAAAATTCATTAACCTGTGAATTATGACTTCTTTCAATTGGCGACATATCGCTTCCACCAACCAGTATCATTAACCCCTAGTGGGAATATCGACGGAAACTGCTAAAGAGTCCCAAATTAATACGAAACAACTATCTAGTTCTTCTTGGTTTCCAGTGATTCCTTAACTGATATCAGCTCGTAACATAACCTGTACTAAGATTAAACCAGTTCTCTACAAAACCCTAGATTTAAAAATTAATATTGTTAATAACAAAAATAAAAATGCAATTTAAAACTACTGAAATTAATAATATCTAAAAAGTTAATTATATTACAAATGGACAGACAAATAAAAATATAAGTGAACGATAGATAATCTATATGAATTATTTTTAATAATCTTTCTAAAATACACAGTCTTCTATATTGTGTATTATATTATAACGAATACAAGAGTCTTTTATTTAGATCCAAGTTCAGAATACTGCTCAGCTGCTATAGTGATACAAAAATAAATGAATAAACAAAGACGAATTATTCTTTAAACAAAAATGAAAAAAAACGCTTTCTTCCTTTTCAATTTTTACACTGTTACACCCATTTGATTTCAATGAAAGTAATAGGAAAACGGGTAGTGAAAATAAAGGATAACAAAGAATATGAAAGTTGAGTTCATTTCAGTGAATATATGTGGTGTATATTTAGTCTTATGGGCCTAGAAATACGTCCAATCTCTATTTCCAGGATGATGATAATATTCTCACGATCTTTTGTATACTTTTTTAAGATTAATCAATATTTAGATTATTGGTTTTTTCCTGGGATAAGAATTAACTTCAATATAGATTTCGTTACGAATCAACATTATTTGGAGATCCTTGAAAACCAGGAAACATTGGAGTCCAATCTTTGGACTCTTCACAGTGTACACCTACGACTACGCGAGGGATTGAACCCGGAACCTCTAGGTTATGAAACCAAACTCGTTGAACTTTCAGCCACTGGGGTCAAAATTCAATTGCCTGTGATTTCTAATTCAATTTGTCATATAGTGCTAAGCTCAAACGACGCCTTCGATTAGGGCTCACTTCACCTTCTTATGGGTGACATTATTGGTTACGACTTGTCAGTATAGCTGCAAGTTATCTACTCAAGAGCCACCAATGTGGTGGAGATTGCTGTTGAGATTATCAGTTCCTTTTGTAGATTTTGTCAAGTACTAACATCACTATTTTCATTTTCATCCTCTTCAAGTTATTTATCCATTTAAAAGTCTATTGTATAATTTTCTATAGTTTGGTTTGTAAGGGTTAGTTTTTTTTCTACAAGTTGATCACGGATTGATATCAGCTAGAGAACCATTGAAATCCAGTGGTGAGTACTGCAAAGGTGTTTCATCCTAGTTTGGAAATCATCGGCAGCACGCACCCACTGGGGTTTGGGCCCAGGACCTTCCGGTTACAAGGCGAGCTCGTATTCACTTCAGCCACTGGGACCTGATTCAATGCCTCATGAATTCTAACTTCTACCAATTCGTGAATTAGCGCGACCCCAACCATTGTCGTAAGTGTGACATCCATATACGAGCTTGCCTTGAAACCGGAAGGTCCTGGGCCCGAACCCCAGTGGGTGCGTACTGCCGATGATTCCCAAACTAGGATGAAACACCTTTGCAGTACTCACCACTGGACTTCAGTGGTTCTCTAGCTGATATCAATCCATGATCAACTATTGTATAATGTTTCTTTTAGGCAGAATTGACTGACTATTCCAATTGCGAATACTTGCTGTTGGTATGATACCCTGTTAGTAAAGCCTCAAACTCTGAGATGTTCTCACATAAAAATATGGCCTATTGACAAGTGCAATAACATGCATGTGGCTGTCCAGTGACTCATTGTTTTGTCTCATTTTACTTTATTTATAAATTCTACTTCATTTCTAGCAGCTGTCAATAAAAGCAAACTAGATTAGTGAAAGGTTACCATCAAAATGAAAATAGATTTCACTAAATTTACGTGTTAATTTTTTATGACTCAATTCATCTTATTAGGAGGTGAACATAGACAAGACGGAGGTTATTAAAATAACCAACCAACAACAACAGCAACATCCAGCGCCAATCACCATCAACGGGAGGGATTTGAAAGAGGTTACTCCTTTCACTTATCTAGGGAGCATTGTCTCAACTACAGGAGGAACGGACGACGATGTCAAATCAAGAATCGGTAAGGCGAGAAACACATTCATCAACCTGAAACCAATCTGGAAATCTTCGTCACTCAACATCAACAACAGAATTCGGATTTTCAATACAAACGTCGAGTCAGTTCTTCTATACGGATCAGAAACTTGGCGGGTCACAAAGAATATTTCCAACAGCCTGTTGCAGACCTTTATCAACAACTGTCTCCGTTCTATACTGAAGATGAGATGGCCGGAAAGAATCAAAAACAAGAAGCTATGGGAACAAACAAAACAAGAACCAATCGCTCAATAAATATGCAGGAGAAAGTGGAGATGGATTGAACACTCGCTGAGGAGGCTGTTGGGTGACATCGCGCGTCAGACCATAGCTCGAGTGGAACCCGAAAGAGAAGCGGCGAGTGGGATCTCCAAGGGTGACATGGAGGAGATCGTGTGATGAGGAACTGAAACAGTATGGATTAACATGGATGCGAGTGAAAAGTACAGCAGAAGACAGAAGCAAGTGGAGGCGTGTAGTTGAAGCCCTATGTTCCACTAGGAACCCAAGGGAACAATAATAATAAAATAAGCTATACTTCTGTCATTATTGTATCGAGGAGATGGAAGAAAAACAAATAAATTTACCGAAAATTACAGTTAACGAGTCTATTTACTGTTGTCATTATAAAAATAACAAACATACATTCACTTGTGTCTACAATAGCTAGAACTTCATTTCAGACTCCTAAATTAACAGCTGTAATAAGACGGTCGGAGGAAATCGGCAGGAAGCCTTGGACACGGGTTTCAAAGTTGCTTGGACTCGTCAGTAATAAGCATATGCAGTTTTGAAGTAATTCATGTCCCCTGTGGGATTAGTGCATGTATCATTCATTGCTGCAGTCAGAGGTGTTATCACTGAATTATTCGGGTTCGTGAAAAACTTCCTGTAGGACTACTATCGTCGGAAAACTGCAAAATCATTGAAAAATCTTGACGGAAAGTGGTTTCCCACCCAAATTCATAGACAAGAACTTAAAACCAAAGAAAGCTTCTGAACAGGCTCAAGTCACCCCCAAAGAGATGTTGCTGTTTGGTTTCATATTTAAAAGTGATAAGGAGGTAGAAATTCCCTGAAAGAGGCTTTCGAAATCTCTCAGTAAGACACACACCACCGCCAACATACGAGCAACACTTTCTTGCAAGAAACTATTCGGCTACGATGAAAAAGACAAGTTGTTGAACTGAACCACTTCAATATGCATATACATGTTTGCTTGCTCTTTTGGAGCTGAGTTCATTAGCAGTATCATGCGTCCGCTTGTAAAATCAGCTTAACAGCTCCATTTGAAAAAAACCTTCAAAGTCCTATACATGGTTCGATCAAGCTCCACGAAAAGGGTTGAAATCAAGGCATCTGGGCATACCTGAGGCATTAGCGATCTAAAAGTCCACGCCAACACTATATATTCAAAAGAAATACACCCAACATATGTCTCTATCATGGCCATCATAAAAAAGTCAATTCTCCAAGCAGTGATTATCCTATTATCCAGTCTTTCTCTTTATTTCGGCTATCTTCACCTTTTTTATTTCCGATCTGCACTACTGTTTTTTATCTAAACTTCTCGCCAATTTTATCACTACCTTTTTAATCCTTAACTGTATAAAATGTCAGTTAGTTCAGTAGTCTTGATCCCACTATGTTTCTATCCGATCTTCTTGTCTATTTCGTTATTAATTAGATTTTAATCCCTATTTGTAATCTTGTTAGTTGGCCCTTCGATCAGAAATCGTTCTAGAAATTTTTTCACACACTTATTATATATACACAAATGTACATCCTAGTTGGGAACTTCATAGGAAAGAGAATTTTCTTCTTTGCAACCATCTTTTTTAATTCTGCCTATAGAATAAAACTGTCATAGGTTTTAAAAATATTTTTAAAAAAAGCGAACGATGTAGCACTACAGCTTAACTTACACGATGTAGTTTTCCAGTTGTTTCAAGGAAACTCATTAATTCTGACTCAATATTTGTCTCATCAACAGTGGTTATATTTTCTGTTACATCTGATAATTTCTTTTCTAAGAGAATAACCATTTTACAATTGGAAAACTAAAAAAACATTTTTTCGATGAAATAAAAGTGAGAAATATTAAAAATTAGTAAGCAAAGGCAAGCAGGTTAAGGGAAGTATATGTACAATAAAATGTAGTACTAAAAGTAACTATTTTTCCTTATTGAAACTATAGTTTGAGGATATCCTTTCGGGTGATTTTACTGGACAGAAATATTCGGTGCCTGTTGGTGTACCGGCTGCTGGTGAATCGGTTAACAAGAAATTCAAACGAAGAAATAAAATAAGTGCAATCCAACCCTGTCGTTGGCACGGTGGTAGAATGCTCGCCAGCCACACATGAGGCTCGTGGTTCGATCCCCAGCCGACGCACTCCAAAACCTCGCTAAGCCAGTAATAAAACTGATAAAGAGAAAAGGTTGGACATGAGGCTAGCAACCCCATCTCGTAAAAGTAAATACTACTGTGACCAAAACTCCAAGCCTCTAACTTGAAGTCCTATGTTCCACTGGGAACTTAAACGAATAAAATAATATTAATAAATAACCCCGTCGCAAAAGAGGTATCTCTAATGGTCTAGTAATACAATGAATAACTCTTTGGCATTTTCAGTCTCATCCAGTCGAGAAGTCCTAAATAGGTCGAGATACTCATCAAGCATTACACTGTTGTCCACCAGAAAATAAACAGCGTAAAAGTAAATAAGTTATGAAGCTGCTTTATGTAAAACTGTCTAATTCTACACATAGACAGTATAATTATTTCTTTTAAAGCGAACATCGATTTAGGAAATAATAGAGATTTGTAGCTCAGGTGGATGATTTTGATTTGGTTTTGTTCACTGAGTTGGCTGATTTAATTGGGAAGCTTTTGTCATCCTTCTAGGCAACACCTTCAGCGCAGGTTTTAGTATAAAATGAACTTATTTAAATTCGCCATGAATGGTGTGATTGTATCTCGTGGCAACCACTGTCGTAACCAGTTGTCAATTTACGTCTCTATTGCTCATTTTTATTGACTTAGAATTTGAACTTCTTTGTCATGTGATTTAGTTCTTATCAGTTGGTAAATTTGATCTGTAGTAATGTGCTTATGAGTCGCTGGTTCATCAAGGTACCAGGCTCCCAGAAATTCCCTGACAGCTTTTCTGGTGTTCCCTCTATATAAAATTTCTACATTCTCTCAGTCAAATTGGTGTCCGTAATTATCTGCATGCATCGATATGAAAGAATACATGACGTATCTTTTCATAGATAATATATGTTCTTAGATTCTGATTCTAAAGGGGACACCCACTTTGACCGATGTAGTGTTTGTCGCAGTTCATTCAATTTATTTTGTGAATGGTATCAATCTTATCTTCTTTATATGTTGGATCCTTTGTTCTTCACAATGTTGGATGAAATAATTGTGTCGGCTTATGTGTGGTGTCTCTTTCAAATAGTCTTAGTATTCGAGCTGTTATTTCAGAGATATTTTTTATATATGGTAGGATGAATTTTCTTGTGGTTTCTGTAGAATGTTTTTCCGCTGGTATTTCGATCTTAGTTTAAATGCTTTCTGATAAAATTGTGAGGATATTCATTCTTTTTGAAGACGGTTAGTAGGTGGTATGTCTGCTTCATTCACTTCAACACTGAACTAGTGCTCTTTTAAACAATATCTGCACACAGCTCCTTTTGTGATTAATTGGGTTATTACCACTATAGCTGAGTATTTGGTCTGTGTGTGTTGACTTTATGCATATTTGTGTTTCAAAATTTCCTGTGTTAGTTCTCTTGATGAATACATCTAGGGATGGGATTTCGTTATCTGATTCTTCTTCGTCTGTCGTGGTGAATTTAATATCTTCAAATATGTTGTTGATTAATTTGTGGGTGTATTCTAAATCATTTCTTTTTTAATTATTATGAGTTTATCATCAACATAACGCACCCAGATTTAATCATTTCAATCTCATTTGTTTTGGCAATATCTAGCAACGGAACCTGGAATACTTTTCACTCTTTATGGTACTTATCTCAGTTGTGGTTCGACCCTAAATTAAACAGTTTCTAATATTTTGATTCATTCACCATTTAGAAAATTTCAGAACTGTCAAGATATAACAGATACATCAATAGTGAATATCTGATTCACACTAATCTAAGTTCGATGTAATGCTGACTGAAGTTTATGGTCTGCAGACCATGATGAAAAGTCTTAGAATGAATTTGTATATACATCCTTTTATTTTAATGGATATAGAACTATATCATGTGAGAATTCGAAGATACCGTCTATATATTTTCGTATCTTAAGAAGTATCTCCTGATGTTCCATACTTCAGTTTTCTTCGTTTTTTTTGTTTCCTTCACGTTCCCCAGTGGAACATAGGGCTTCAACCTAGTGACTTGAAGTTTCTGTAGCAGTGCTTATTTTTACAGGATGGAGTTGCTAACCTCATGCCCAATCTTTCCTCTTTACCAGCATTATTTCTGGCTTAGTGAGGTGAAGGAGGGCGTCGGCCGGGGATCGAACCCCGGACCATATGCATCGTCGGCGAGCGTCCTAACCGCTATGCCACCGACGCATTTTTCGTATACTCTTATATTATTATTATATTCGTTCCCTTAGATTCCATTTAGAACATAGGGCTTCAACAGCATACCTCCGTTTCAGCCTGTTCTCTACAGTCTTCTCTAGCTGAACCAATGATTGCTCATAGTCTCTCATCTCCTCCTCAAAGGGTCACCTCTGAGTCATCACCCGGACTAACGTTCCACTAGATTGCATTCGGTGCCCTCCTTAGCGTGTGTTCAGTTCATCTCCATTTTCTTATTGCTATTCTTTGAGTAATTAGTTCTCGATCGGTTTGTTCCCAGAGTTTCCTGTTGCTGATTCTTTCTGGCCATCCGCTTTTCAGTACCAAGTTGGAAATCGAAGTCTTGTTTTTTATACTGAATGCAGCAGACTTCCAAACTGACTTCAGAGTGATGAAGACCTGTCTTGACTTTCCGATTCTACCAGGCCATGAAATCCTCACCCACTCCGCCCGTATTTGAGACAGTGCTGGCTATGTAAGTGAAGGAAGTAACCTCTTTCAAATTTATTCCTTTCATAACATTATTTTTTGTTGTTGCTGTTGTTGTCTGATTGGCCCTCTTCATCACCTTCATGTTACTTGTATTTATTTGAGGTCCTGTCTTTGCTCTTTGCCTCTTTTGCCTAATCGTTGGTTTTCGCGTGTAAGCCATCGAATTTCCGTGACAGTAAACATAAATCATCCACAAACACAGATCTTTATAGTCTTATTGTTGGTTCAACGTATTCCTGTCTTCTCTGTCCCGACAGTTTGCCTCATAATCCAGTCCACCACCATTAGAAATATGACTGTTGATAGTAGGCAGCCTTGTCCTAACCTTGTATTAAATTCAAAGGAACCACTGATTTTCCCGTCGTAGGTCAACTGATACCCGGCATCATCATTTAGCTCTTGATTGAGGTTGATAAATATTTGGGCACTGCACGATATAGTGTTGAAGTAGTTTCCAAATTACTTCTCAGTCAACACTATCGAAAGCCTTTTCAAAGTTGATGAATTTGAGGTAGAAGTTTGACTACCATTATGTGCCTTATCCGATGATGATGCAAAGAGTTGCGATTTGTTTCGCAAATGATTTGCTTATTTACAATCTAAGTTGTTTAAAGTGTAGTTTAGCATCCACTGCATCTTTTAGTCGTTCCAGGATGACGCAACTAAGTATTTTGCCTAGCCTGGACAACAGTCTGATTCCGTGCCAGTCCCCTGACAGTCCCAAGTTCAAATGCTTTAGCGATTTGGATTTTATAAAATTCATTTCATGTCAAGGAAAACAAATGAAGCATCTTTCTTAATATTGAAAAAGAGTAGAACTAATTTTATCAAAACCTTTAACACCAAGTCAGGCAGATACAATTCATGTAATGGTTCAAGAAGAAATGCAAAGTTTACAATATGTGTGAATAGTTTATTTTAGCTTTTCTGACTTACACTTACGGCTTAGCGTAAGTTCTATTCAAAGTACAACTTGTTTAAAGTCATATATTTTAAGTACAGCTGGGAGTACTGGATAGATGTTTCGTCCTAATCTGGGACTCTTCAATAGTACGTACGCACAGGGGTTCGGACCTTCTGGTTACATGGGGAGCTCGTAGATCACTGAGCCACTGGCAAACGATCCAATGCCCATGTATTCCAACTTCTGTCATTTCACGACATAGCGCCACCACTAGCTAATATCTTCGGCGAGTACTTGTCCTCACGACCGACTTTCTGTACCCTACTGTGCAAGACTCCCCACTAGAACAATTGGAAAAAAGGGCTTAAACATGTAGCTAAATACTTCAGCTCCCCCTCTGTTTTCGTATGTATATATATACTGGCTTACCTTTAATGAATCGTTGAATGCTTCAATTTCTTTAGCTTGCTTTAAACTACTTGGTATACCACTTATAATATAATCTTTAGAACCATTATCTTTAGAAAAGTTTTCTTTGATAAGCTGAAGTAATTTCTTCAAGATATTGTCATTATTTTCAGCCTTATCCATAGCACTGTCCTTTGCAATATGAATAGAATCAAATTGTTTTACTAAACGGTTACAATATTCTTTTCGAATATTTTCAGAGCATCCTAACAAAAATAAGGCAGATGAATAAAATATATATTGTGAAATCTAAAACAATACTTGAATAATTATGATTATTTGTAAGAAATTATAAATTATGTCAAACAATGTATTTTTGACGTGTTAAAAATGCATTCCGCAGTTTACTGGTATACAGCTAACAGATGGATAATTCAGCAGTTCGGATTACAGGATGTGTAGAGATTTTGGATTAATTTCAATTGTTGGATTCCCGTCACAAACCAGCATCAGTTAGAATGATTGTTGGAAACCAGGGAGCATTGGACGTCTCTTTTGGTATATTTTGGGACTCCGCATCAATGGGTACCCACGAATCCACTAGGTATCGAACCTGAGACCTTCAGGTTACGAGACCATACAACCATTTTGGCTGGAGTTCTGTGGCTGGTGAATCCTGACTTTGTCAATTTATGATATATTATGCTGCCCGCTCACTGAAGGCTAGTAGATAGATTTCCCAAAGTTGTGGTGGGGAGTCGTGACCAGTAGGGTCCACCATGTTATGGTGAAGTGGATGTTCATCCAAAGCATTGGTAAGGTCAGTGCCATGTCAAGAATTGAAAAGTTACAACTCATTGATTATTGAATCCCACCCTACGTGGCTAAATGTTCAACGAGCTTGGTTTCGTAATCTGAAGGTCCTGGTTTTGACTCTTGGTTTGACCGTGAGTGCGCACCGCAGAGAAGTCCTAAACCAGTAGGGAACAGGTGTTCAATACTTCCTGGTTTCCAATGTTCTCTCCGATTAACTTTGGTTTGTAACGGAAATCAGACAATTGAAAAGCACCCATTACTTGCTGGTAAAAATCTCTCAGAAACTCAGGTTTTTATCGGTGACCTCATTCCATTACATATAAGTTCCGTTTGCATGCATCAGTGCTTTATTAGTGCTTACCAGTCACAAGGAAAGTCAGGGTTCTGGCTGAAGCACTCCTAAACCTCGCCTAGCCAGCAGTAAGCCAGAAAAGAGAGAAGTCTGGTTATATGAGGCACTCCTTAAAAATTAAACCACCGTTACTGAAAATTCAAAAGCTTGAAACGCCATTTTCTACTAGATTTGTAATGAATGAAAAAGAAGTTCAGAGTATTAAATTCTAACCTGCCGCTTTACCAGCAGAGCTACGAGACTTTTCTGCAGTCATGACTGGTGATGAATACCAAAATGTCATGTGAATGAATGTTGCACAACTATCCGTTTACAATAAAACTGTCTAATAAACTAGTTATTTTCTAATCAGTTTTATTCATACTCAGTTAGAAGGAAAAGTACAGGCTGTTAAATGATGATAGAACTATCTGAAGATCTTCGGAGTAGTAGACGACTACTGCTACTGGTAAAATAGAGACGAAATGAAAATCCATGTGACAGTAGATTTCAAAAGCTTCGCCGACTCTGATGAATCCTAAAGGCAAAATATTTCTTTTAAACTTAAAAAATCACTTGATTTTTATTATCATAATTGATATGGATTTTGTCTTTAAAAGACGTTAATGGTACTACTAAAGGCAGTAGTGATGTTATATATATATATATATATATATATATATGTATAATTTCATATTAGTTTGTTTATGAGATGCATCACACAGTGAAACAGTATTATTTACTGGATGACGTTTCGAACACAATTTATTGTCCATATCATTTCATCAGTTATAATCACACAACTTCGAAACTTGAGTTTTATAGTTTTCTTTCTCTCCTATTTGTCGTAGGGGTAGCAGAATTTTCCAGATATCTGAGAAAGGTGTTGAATCGTTCCTATTACACGTGTTTGCAGTTGATTCAATAAACAAAGCTTCCGTTATCAATCTCTCCCTCCTACCTGTTAAATCAGATTTTAAAACTGTCATCCTATCCCATCCTATTGAATGGTTGTGTGCAATTGCACGTAGTGCTCTAGCTGAACTATTCTCTAGATTTCTTATCTTATTCGGGTCAACTAGTCGAGATTTTGCTAGGTTTTTATGCCCGGCTAGTCTGTCTGCACCTGTTCTACTACTTTGACCTATGTATTTGACCTGACAATCATTGCAGGGTATTAGAGAAACTAAATTGTTTTTTAAAGACTCTACAGGATCCTTTAACCGAAAAAAATTGTTTCTAAGTAAGTTGTAGACTTGACAGCCAACTACTTTTATCCCTGCATTGTTAAGAATTCTGCGTAAGGTTTCCGAGGTTCCTTCCTTGTATGGAATTACTAATATACGTGTAGTAGGAATGATTCAACACCTGTCCCAGACATCTGGAGAATTCTACTACCCCTGCAAGGAATAAGAAAGAATAAAGGAAACTACAGAACTCAAGTTTCGAAGTTGTGTGATTATAATTGATGGCATGATTATGAACAATAAATTGTTTTCGAGAAGTCATACAGTAAACGATATTGTTTCACTGTGTGTGTGTGTGTGATATCTAAAAAACAAATTATTATGGAATTACGTGCTATCACAATGGTAGAGTTTTACATATATAAATATATATATATATATATAGTCTAGAAGACAACTAAGTACTCTTGAAAATCTTCATAAGTGCATAAATCTTACCAAGAATGAAGATAAATTTGCATTTGTTTAAAATATCGTTCCATGATTCAGCATCATCTGTATCTATATAAGAGAATATTAAATTAATTAATAGACATTAGAGGTGGAAGTGTGAAACAGTAGATTTGATTCAATGTTGGTACAACTGTTGCTCATTTATAAATATGAAGGTATAGGTTTGATCACAGGCTAAAATCCCTTGGAGAGCCATTGGAATTCAAGGAGTACTGGACAGCTATTTTATCCTAGTTTTGGACACTTCAGCGTTACGCATCCACTGAGGGTTCTAACCTAGGACTTTTCAGCGACAAAGTAAGCTCAGCTAATGGGGCCCAATCCAATGACCCATGAATTCCAACTTCTGCTAACTTGCGATGTGTAGCGCAACCATCACCAAATATTATGGGTGAGTAACTGCACTGTCTCATTCTCTCATTTATGACACAGAGCCAATGTACTAACTTTCCACTCGACAACAGATGAATAATACTGGATCACTATGTGTACGTTATCAAATAAAATTATTCTATTGTGGAATTATACTTTACTCCCATGAGACCCAACTCTATTCTTAAATATACTGAATAACCTTTGAGCATAACAGTGAAACATGACGATTTTGGATGCAATCAAGTTTTGTGAATACTGGTGACGACTAGGAAAATAAAGGAATACCACGAATGTATTCCCTTCTAATCAACAATAAATCTGTAAACAACCAGTTGGTGTTTCTTTTGTATCATAATGGTATAAAACAGAATTTCGGATCAGTAATTAAATGCTTGCACTCCCGCGTCGTAAACTAATCGTCAGACGTGAACGCATACTATTGTAGAGTTCCAAAGGAATATCCAGTGTTTGTTCCCTAGTCTTATCTAACTAATGTCGATTTATCACAAAATACATCCAGGAGGTACGTACTACTGAAGAGTCCAAAACTGGGACGAAACAACTGTCCGATTCCCTCAAGTCTTCCAAGGTTCCTCTAACTGATGTCAGCTCATGATGAAACCCTCCAACCAATCAAACAAAATCCCCACAAATCAATACTTTTTTGAAATTTATAAATTTCTACAATTATTCCTAAAAAATGAATAAAATCACACAGAAAAAATCGAAACAAATCACATTTTTAAGCAATTACCATTGACTGTTTTGTTATCTAACTTTACTTCGGTTGAAGTCGGTTCAGTATTGGGAAATTCGAGTATTGTAGATAACTGTGATGCTGAATTCTCTTGCTCTTTATCTAAACTTTCATCATAACTCGTTTCAAGTGATTTATCATCTGTAACAATATATATAAAATTGAAAATATGAAAAAAATCTAAGATCTCTTTTTTCTCTGCAAAACGTTTTGATTAAAAAATGATTAATTAATATGTTTTTATTGATGGTTTATGAAGCCAGTTATTGTTAGTTTTATGTGCTACCCATGAGATTGCCTTCTCGACTGCATTTAAATGATTATTAGATAACGGAGATATGACGCAAAACCTGCCACAGTGGGAAAGATGTATTAATTTGTTGGATGGTGACTAGCAGCGGAATCCAGGATGCGCAATTCATCCTGTTTCTGACTGATCGGTTGGATGTATCTGCATTTCCAGTGAGTGGTAATGTCCCGACCGGGACTTGAACTGTGTACCCACCATTTCAAACGCCAAAGTGTTACCGACTAGACTATTTGGGACACGAAAGCCACCTATTATGCAACGGGCACCGTTTGCTATTTGTTGTGAATTCAATACTGGTTCTCCCACTGATTGATTGAACTGAAATGTTCGGCCTCTGTTGATATGTCTGCTTTTAGTACGGACGCTTCGACGATGTCTGAGGACTAACTTGAACGAAACGCGAATCCTGGATTTCACTACTATTCACCATCCACCAAAATTACTTCAAGTTGACCATCAGACATCGTCGACACATCTGTACTAGGAGCCGAAATGTCAACAGAGGCCGAACATTTCAGTTCAGTGAGTACAGGAGGAAAACCAGATTGAATTAAAAACAAATAAGAAAGATGGATTTATACTTATCTTGATCGTAACTCAGCGTTGCTTTCATCACCTGTGTCTTTTGACTATGTGGCAGTTCACAACTCCCAATGATCTGAATTACAAACATTTTGTACACACTTCACAATAATTTTTACTTGATACACAAATATAAGGCATAATAATTTGAACTTCTATGTTTTCTGTTCACAGTCTTTGTTTGACCGTCTCCATCTCTTTGCTCAACAGCTGCATCTCCTTCATATGTATATATATACGAGACTGGGGTGTGTAATGGAAATTTTTACAAAGTGCGTTCACGAAGATATACCCGCTTTTATCCGAAAGAATGAATAGAATTGAGTAAGCAAATGGTAAGTTAAATGGTTTCTCTGTTTTCTGTAAATAAGAAGCATGCACTCAGGAACATACATTCACATTATTCATCTGGGGAGTGATAACCATGCACAATCTAAACCCATGTGTGGTCTAAACAACTGAACATTAGATATGTTGGTGAAAACCTTAACATATCCAGGGATTAGAAGTTTACCCAAAATCGCCATGATGATTTGGGTTTTGTTCTCTGAGTTGGCTGATTTAATTGTCAAGCTTTCGTCGTCCCTCTTTTATACATCATCTTCAGCGCACGTTTTAGTATAAAATGGATTTATTTAAATTCGCCATGAACGGTGTGATTGTATCTCTTGGTAACCACTGTCGTGACCAGTTGTCAATTTACGTCTCTATTGCTCATTTTCATTGACTTGGAATTTGAACTTTATTGTCATGTGATTTATTTTTTATCAGTTGGTAAATTTGATCTGTAGTAATGTGTTTATGAGTTGCTGGTTCATCTGAGTACCAGGCTTGTAGAAATTCCCTATCATTTTCAATGTTTCCTCCGTATAAAATTTCTACATTCTCTCAGTCAAATTGGTGTCCGTAATAATCTACCTTCATTGATATGGAAGAACATATATCATGTCTTTTTACAGCTAATTTCTGATCTTGCATTCGGATTCGAAGGAGACGCCCTCTCTTACCAATGTAGTGTTTGTCACAGTTCATTCAATTTATTTTGTGAAAGGTATCGATCTTATCTTCTTTTTCCGTTGGACCTTTTGTTCTGCACAACGTTGGATGAAGTGATTGTATTGGCTTGAGTGTGGTGTCTCTTTCAAATAGTTTTAGTATTGGAGCTGTTATTTCAGAGATATTTTTATATATGGTAGGATGGATTTTCTAGTGGTCTTTGATGTTGGTTTGTTGTTGATGTTATGACTGAAGTTTAAAAACTTTTTGATGAAATTGTGAGGATATCCATTCTTTTTGAAGACGGTTGGTAAGTATATTTCCTCCGTTCTCTTCAACACAGGAGTGCTACAGTGTGTTTGAAATCTTTTAAACAGTGTCTGCATACTGTTTCTTCTGTGGGTAATCAGGTTTTTACTATTACACTTGAGTATTTGGTCTGTGTGTCTTGCTTCTCTACCTGTATTATTTCTCTTGATTAAGATACCTAAGAATGGGACTTTGTTGTATAATTCTTCTTATTCTGTCGTGATAAATTTAATGTCTTCAGATTCGTGGGTATATTCGAAATTATTTCCTTAATTATTGCAAATGTATCACCAGAGTAACGTTCATAGAATTTTGGTTTAATTATAGGTAGAGCTATTGATTGTAATCTTTTCACAATAGCTTCAGCTATTAACTCTGATATGGGCGATTCCATTGGTGTTCCTTTTATCTGTTCGTATATTTGATCGCTGAATTGGAAGTATTTTTTAAGACATAATTCTATGAGTTCCATCCAAGTTGAACATTGCCTTTCTGTGTTCTCATCGCTATGCAGTAGTTGTTGCACAGTTTCTTTTGCTAGGTTTGGACCAATCGAAGTATGTAACGCTTTGACATCAAAGGAACCATTATTTTACTGTCATCTATTTGAATGTTTTGGATATTCTCTGAAAATTGGATTTAGCGAACTGTTAGAATGGTCGCATGATTCTGTTAGATATTTTAATTTTCCGTAAAGTTCTTTAGATAGATTATATGTTGGTGTTCCTGGTACTAAAACGATTGGTCGTAAGGGAATGTTCGGTTTGTGTAGTTTCCGTCAAAGAGTAATTAATGCCTTAATTCGTGACAGAAATGATGAATGAATTAGATGAATAATAAGTTAGCTTTTGCAAGATAATGTATGTTAAAATGTTTATTATTAGATACAGTATTTATCTAAGTGATAAGAATTTTATGCAAAACAATAGTCAAGCTTACCATCTATTATATTATTCTATGTGGAAAAAAAGAAGACATAAAGACAAGTGTGATTAATTCCACATGAGTAAATAAGTCATCTTGAAAAAAATGTCTTCAGTTTTTCATTAGAACAACATAAAATGTTGAAAGTGAACCATAAAACATCTATAAGTTAAAAGCAATTGTTGCTCTGTTTATTCCTTAGTGTCCTAAGTGTGGAACATAGGGCTTCAAGACTTAAAGTTCCAGTAGCAGCGATGTTGTTATTCATGCTGAAAAATGTCACCAGTTTTCTGCCAGAATAACATGAAATGTTAAACAATTATGTTTTGTGCTTTTACAGGATTTCGTGTTTCGAGTGGAACACAGGGCTATAAACTTCAGCAGCAGTAATGTTGCCTCTTACAGGGCTGGAAGAGGAGAGAGTTACCATCTTTATGTTAAACTCGTGTTGTTTTACCAAGAATACGATCGGCTAGTAAGCTAGATGAGGTTTAGAAGTGTGTCGTCCAGGAACTGAATCTGAACATTTCTACCAGTGAATATTTGTATTAAAAGAGATTAGCTTTTAGCAGCATTGCCTACTACGGACATATTTCTTGCCGCTTAAAAACAATATAAATTCTATAAAATAATATTTCTGAACACGAACTTGAATATTCCTCTAATTTATTCAGAACAAAAATTTTTAGAGCGAAAAATTGTTTTCAATTAATTCTTCTTCAGGCTCCACAATTGTAAATCCATTAATTTAAGCATACGATAGCCAACCAGTAAAGACATATTAGAATCATATCAGAAAGTGTATTGTGGAACAAGTATAAGATGGGATGGAACAATAGTCAGTTAATTTCTGATTATGCAAGGTCAATGAGAACATGAGATAAAATGAGATGAAATAATTAAATGATGTATATATATATATTATCAACAAAAGTACATATTTGGAGGGTGAGTGTAATCAGTGGTGTGTGAGACAATATGAATACTACAGAAAATAAACTACACTTAAGTTCAAGGGTGGAAATAACGACAATAATAATGATTGTGAAATATTAACGATGTTGTGGTATAAACTTAAAAGTGCCATTGATGAATGATTATCAAATAATAATAATAAGAATTTAGTGAAGTGAAATGAAAAGGATTTTGTAAATATGATAACAAATTAGAAAAGCATTACTTAAACCTAAGGTAATAGAAATCACAGTAAAGGTCATGAAGTCGTAAAAGGTCAGAAATGAACTCTTGTCAATGAAACAAAGGAAAAAAAGAAGGAAAGAAAAAAATTGCTAATGTTTATGGAGAATTTTTCGGCCTTATTGTAGTCCAAGGTGAACAGCGATTGAACATACTTTTTCCGCATACAAAAAAACCTATCCTCTGGTATTGATTCCTACCGCTTCAGCTACTGATAGAAGACGTAGTCGAGCTCCTCCAGATAGATTACCAGGAATGCGGTAAGTACCTGAGAACGCCTGCTTAGGTTTTATCGAATGTCCAGTATCTACTAAGTAGGTAAGACTGCACTATATACGCATTCGGTTAGCTCTTTATTTAAGTGTAGTTTATTTTCTGTAGTATTCATATTGTCTCACAAACCACTGATTACACTCACCCTCGAAATATGTACTTTTGTTGACATATATATATATATATATACATCATTTAATTATTTCATCTCATTTTATCTCATGTTCTCATTGACCATGCATAATCAGAAACTAACTGACTATTGTTCCATCCCATCTTATACTTGTTCCACAATACATTTACGATATGATTCTAATTTTGCCTTTACTGGCTGGCTATTGTATGCTTAAATTAATGGATTTATAATTGTGGAGCCTGAAGAAGAATTTATTGAAAACAATTGTTCGCTCTAACAATTTTTGTTCTAAATAAATGGTGAGAATATTCGAGTTACTTATCAAATTGTCACAGTAATTCGTATCAGGTCGCTGTTTTAATATAAGAAAATTTCCCCTATTTTAGTAGTATTATCTTGAATGGTTTAACTAAACATCGTTCAAATATCCAGTGTAACTGGCTAGATTTAACTAGTGTCTACCATTTTAAAAATACTTCTTTCTCTGTGTCTCATTCGGTAATCGGTGCCATTTCAGTGGTTCTGCTTGAGTTAAAATTAAGTAATTTGTAAGCAGAACTTTATCTGTATTATTCAATGAAATCTTAGTCAACTTTAAAATTCGTGCAGACTGTTGGACACTGTTAATACACTATTAACAGTGTAAGTACCACTGGGTGACACTAATACGTATGAATCTGAGATAAACTGATGATGAAACAACAATGGCTGTCGTCAGAATAACTCAAAGATTGTCCAAATAGTGCAAAATATTTACACTTAGAGAGGTTAATTTCGGTTGTACTGTGTACTCTGAGTAAATTACTTGGAAGATTCAAAACTGTGAAATCATCTATACAAGTATATGCTTGCTTCTGACTTCAGCAATAACAATCATTATAACTGCAATACAAACATAAACATCATGGTAACTGAGCGCTAAGAAATTCACTATACAAATCAGTATAGAAGCAAAATAAGATATAAAAACACAATAAGAGGATAATACGATAGGGATTCTGACTAAGTACAACATCATTATTATTCCCGTGGGTTCCAAGTGGAACATAGGGCTTCAACAACTCATCTCCACTTTGTTCTATTTTCTGCTGTCCTCTTCAGCTGGATCAATGATTGCTCATAACCTCTCATCTCCTCCTCGCCACACGATCTCTTCCATGTCACCCTCGCAACTCACTCGTCGCTACCCATTCGGATTCCACTCGAGCGATGGCCTGCATTGCGCGCGATGTCATTCGACAGCCCCCTTGACGTATACCTGATCCATCTCCATTTTCTCCTACATATTTGTTGATCAATAGTTGGAGGACATCTGTTATTAATTTCACTCCCAAACCATAACTGATAACATCTTTAGCCATTAAGTTATATGATCTCGAAATCCTTAAAAGTAGGTCTTCAACTCTATCACAAAATTAGCGTTACATAAATGAACGGCAAGAAGACAAGATCTTTAAACAATTACTAAACAATTTATATATGTGTATAAAGTCATAGGAAAACGTACTTGATGTACTGTATGAGTATCTCCATCTTTTATCATTTGAGACATATATGGAATAACTTCTTCTGAGACAAATGCTGAATTATTCGTATTCCCATCAGCTGTCTCTTTCTTTTAATAATAATAATAAAACAAAAATAAAATGGTTGAAGGGAAAAAATGGCGGGAGAAACAAATTAATTAAGTTTTATTAATCGGTTAATTAAGCGAAACCAACAGAAGATATAACAGCGAAGAAAATTTTCTTTTTTCAAAGAATCACTTTCAAGAGCTTTACAGTCCTGTGTGTGCGTTTAAAACACAGTTCACAAAACCAACTATGTACTGTTAAATATTTGAATAGCATTGTTAGGAGATGGAGTTTATCTAAAAAATGGACGTATTTATCAGGTACACTCCAGTACGCCTGATCACATACTTACTTGTCAAATCAGTATACATGAGAGAAAAAATAAGTAGTCAGTTGAAATACACAAAGTGATAAGAAATTAAAGAATATGAGGGATAATAATTAATACTGCTTTTAATAAAATAATCAAATAAGAATTACCGAGGTAGGTTAAGGGTAATGATTAGTTCTTTTGCGTACACAGGTGGGAACCTAATTGACAGCCACCACCTCAGCGTATTTCAGTTATTATAGATAATCTTGGATGGCCTTTTGATATGTACCCTGTGATTCATTTTAATTAAGCCTTTTGCTACAGACAAAGTTGGTAGTCTTCCACCTATGCTTACCGACGACTCACACTTCTTTTGTTCATCTGAAACAAAAAACAATGAGGCTATAGCTACCCGTAAAACTAAGTCCCATCCCTACTGTGTGTATGAAAGCAATTTATCATTACACTGGCATTTATACTCTAGAAAATGTATTATGTGATGTGAGGTGTAATCAGGAAGGCAATAAATAAGTACAAAATGAAAAAAGAGGTTGGAATTACGTAATAAGGGTGAAAAATGACCTGATCAGTTTTTTCTTATTATTTTGAGTTCCCAGTGGAGCATGAGGTTTCAGGCCTGAAGCCTCGAATCTTCAGTAGTGGTGGTGTTTTATTTTCACAGGGTGGGGTTGGTAGTCCAACGCTCAAACTTCCGCAACGTTTAGTATCTGACTAGTAAACTAGTCCGTTTGAAGTGAGCTAGTCGGGATTCGAACCCAGAAACACATGCGTGGTTGTCGAGCATTATCCCACCACCACTAACACACACTGCAATGATACTTTTATTGTGATGAGTTTTAGTGAACAAAACAGACAAAAGCTAGTGGATACACGATAAAATGTATATTATAAGGTTTAGATAGAAAATTTTCTTCGCTGTTATATCTTCTTTTATGTAGGATTTAATACAAGGAGTTTCCTGTTTATTAGTTAAACATACTTTGCGTAGAAAGTATTCAACAACTGCAACCAAATCATTTAGGACAAGATGTTGTTCTCGATCACCAGGAATCTAAAGTGAAAAAGTCAAGGAGGAGAAAAACAACACAAAAATCATCCTCAGTATATTCTAATTAAAAAGTGAATTAGAAAAAACATATTAAAGAGCTTGATATTGACCATAAAATCATATTTAAAAGAATAGAAACCAGTAACCAGTAACTATTAGTTAGACTAATAGTGACAATCTTAGTTTGACAGACTGATGGTCAAGAGTATCGGTTAATAGAATAAAGTGCCTCTAATTGGTGAGGGAAAAGCAAATTTTGTCACAGAATATTTCTGTTTCAACCTCTGTCACTACCAATTGAAAAATTCTACAGTTGAACTCACTATTAAATTTCCAAATATACTTAATTGTTTGTCTATGTCATAACTTTACTATTCACTCCCACCCTCTTAAAATCTCCACCATGTTATGCATAAATTCACTCTGTTGTTCGATCTTGTATTTTGTCTCTAGTCAACTCTTGTTTCGAAGCGATATCTGAATTCAACCCCTCCGCCATCCTGTCTAATTATACCATAAATAATTAGTCTTTTAACACCAAATAATTCTTATATTTACATCATCTTCGGAGTTACGTCTCCTATACTTCCTGCCTATAACTCGAAGTTACTGTAAAAGGTATGATCAGAAATTTCGTAACTTATAACTGATTTTGTTTAGGTAGTTGGAGAGAATTCACGAAATAAGATGAACTCGTATTATGCTGAGAATATATTCGTTCTTTCTTTATTCAAACTAATAAAGGGAATCGGTCGTATAACAAAATATACAGTCGTTCTAAAACCATTTCAACAGTCTGACATGTCACTAGATGATTTCGGCTTATAATTGTGTATAGTCACTTATCTGGTATATATGCCAAACTGAGATATTAATAGCACAGTGATACACAGTCTAAAGTGAGATAAGGGGTTAAAGAGAATCTGTTCCAAATGTTATATATTAAGCTGTTTTCCCTAGGGAACAGTTTACTAGTCTAGGATGCATTCTATGGATTAGAAATTATTTCCGTCTAGACCAAAAATAATTTCAAAGACAGGCCTTACTGATAGTAGGTACTAACTATGATACAAAACCTAGATTTATTAGGCTTTACCCTACTGACAACTTCACTGACATATATTAACGTACGTAAAGTGGGGATAATCACACATATGGCATAGAAAGTTCTCAAGTTCATTTTCAGTCAGTTAGTCAGTGTTTTCGTGGCAGACTCATACGATACAGTCCTGTGTTTTCATTTTTCGCAATATATCCTTCTTCGCATACCTATTAAGGCATTTGGTGGCCTGCTTGAATCACTGGGCTACCGAAGTTGCTTTCCACCAAAATACCTAATTTCATCTAGATTTATCATTGTTTTAATTGTCCAGTTATATCAAATGACCTATACATGAATTGGCGCGCTCATTTAACTTGCTTCCAAGTAAACACTGTACAATTCTTTGGATTATTACATTACATGTAAATCCTGTATGAAGCTAAAAGTATTTTGGAACTGAATACGCTGAAAGTTTTTGAGAAATATGTCCGCATATTGTCTGAAATAAAGCTTTGTTATTATTGTTATTACTAGCATGTCTGTTTCCCTTGAGATTATCTTTGTTTTCATTTTCACAATATTTACTAGCAGTAGTAATAATAGCGATAGCATTATCCTGGGCAAAATATTCCTAGACTGTATAAAATTGCATCATATTTCATCTTGGTCCGTGATATCCAAATAAAATGGTGACTGACAGTATGTCGTGTGAAGTAGTACTGTGCTATTTGAAGCAGAATTTATTCCTTTATGATACTTCCCCTTGGTCTCCTTCAGGAAATCCACAAAAGTAGGTTAAAGGTCAGGTGAAAATGTAGGTGACTACACATTTTGTTACCCAAGGAGATAAAACCAATAAGAAATCATGAAAATTTGATGCGTTATCTTGGATAGCCCAAGGACTTAATTAGGATTCTCACTCATACTTAGAGTCTGTTTTCACTAAGTTTTACTTGCTAAAACTGTGACTAGATTTCTCTTTTGTCAACATCATGACATAATTAAATAGAGACGGATATACTGACAGCGCCAAATAAGTTTCAGGAAAACTAATTTGACAACCTCTGTGTGGCGGCCTGCTTAAAACTTGCGCTACCAAAAACTTCCATCTCTCTATTGCATATATTTTCTCTCCTTCGGTTTGTTTTAATCGATTAAGATATGATCTCTAATGGTATTATCTACTCTTGTATGTATTTAAAATGTTTACAAGCTCCCGATTCACAAGTTCCTACTAAACTTGAGGAATTGCATGATTGTGGGTGACAACGCATCCCAATACATGAGATAACTGTTCTTCAGTTATGTCCTTGGGTCTCAAAATGTACTTCTGGACATCTTGCAATTGGCTTTCAACTAGATATCGTGGACTTCTTGAAGAAGACAAAGCAGATATATCCTAAGGGAATGGTTTGTGCTTCAGCTCAGAGACATACAATTGTGTCACAGAATATACTGTCAATTAATATTTTACTTGAAAATATTGTCCGAAGGGAAAATTTCATGCAATAAACTCCTCTCAAAATTCTGTACATTTTATGAATACTGTCCAGAATAAAAATGTTAATATTATTCCCCTTTTTCGCTTTGATAATTTCTCTCCCAGATTAACAATCTTGTCAACGTAACAAATTCACTATCCATGTGACAATAATAGACTCCAAATGATTGTATCCTTATTTTCCATTCATTAATTTCTAAACTGATCATAAACATGTCAGCCTAAAGTATTCCAAATTCAGAATTTTGTTTCAATCAATGCTATCAGATATATTTTTATGACTGTTATGTACATGACTGTACATGTAAAGTTTATAATAATAATAATAAAACTTACTGTGACTAATTTACTTCGTTCATCATAATGTCTTACAACAGGTAATGTACAGTACTTGAAGAATAGTATACGTTGTCCTGCTACTGATTCTTGATCTTCAACACGATTTAAACGTGCATACCTTTGACGTAATCGTTCATTTAGACTAGATTCTTCACAATCCAACAGTATTGCTAAGTCAACACCACCAATCTAAAAAAATTTATACCACATTTTTTGAAAAAACCAAATGAATACAAAATTTCATTTAAAAATATTCATTACTCGTATAAAAGATAATTATTATTGTTTCCTTTAATTCCTAGAGGAACATAGGGCTTCAGCCGTGCGTCTCCATTGCGTTCGCTTCTCTGCTAGAGTCTTCACCTGACTTCAAGTCTGCCCACACGTTTTCATCTCCTCTTCACATGACCTCCTCCAAGTCACCCTTGCACTGACGACCAACTCGCCGCTTCCCTTTCGGGTTCCACTCGAGGGCTTGTCTAGTGATGTCACTTGATGGTTTCCTCAGAGTATGGCCAATCCATCTCCATTTCTTCCTGCCTATTTGTTTCACAATCGGTTCCTGGTTGGTTCGCTCCCAGAGATCTCTGTTGCTGATCTTTTCTGGCCGGCCATCTGATCTTGAGTATTGAGCGAAGACAACTGTTAATGAAGGTCTGTAGTTTGTTTGAGATGCTCTTTATGACACGCTGGCCAAGTCTCTGATCCGTATAGTAGCACTGACTTCACATTGGAGTTGAAAATTCGGATCTTATTTTTTAAGGCTGAGTGCTGTTGACCTCCACACAGACTTGAGAGTAGTGAAAGCTTGTCTTGCTTTCCCAATTCTTGCTTTGATATCCTCGTCAGTTCCGTTGGCCTGTAGTTGAAACGATGCTTCCCAGGTAGGTAGGTGAAGGAGGTTGTTTCTTTCAGGTTCCTCCCATTTATGCTGATCGTTGTCTGTTGTTGTTGTTCTTATCCAGGAATCTTCATTACCTCTGTTTTCTCTATGTTCACCTGAAGTCCTATCTTTGATGCTTCTTCTGCCAACTTGTTGCTTTTCGCTTGCATATCTTCCAGTTTGTTGGAAATCAGACATATATCATCGGCGAAGTCCAGATCCTCCAAGTTTTTTGTGTGAGTCCATTTTATGCCTGTTTCCTCATTACCCGCTGTTTGTCGCATTATCCAATCTACTGCAATCAGGAAAATCATTGGCGATAGTAGGCAGCCTTGTCTTACTCCCGTCTTCACTTCGAAGGATTCCGTAAGTTTCCCGTTGTGGATTACTTGGCATGCAGCATTGTCGTACAGCTGTTGGATGAGGTGTATAATTGTCGGTGGCACCCCATAGTAGCGAAGTAGTTGCCAAAGCACCTCTCGATCGACGCTGTCGAAGGCCTTTTCAAAGTCGATGAAGTTGAGATAGAGAGGTGACTGCCATTCCAGGCTTTGTTCAATGATGATCCGTAATGTGGCGATCTGATCAATGCATGACTTGTTTCTCCTGAATCCAGCCTGTTCCGGTCGAAGTTTTTCATCCAGGGCATGTTTGATTCTCTCCAGGATGATGCGGCTTAGTATTTTGCTTGGGATGGACAGGAGCATAATTCCGCGCCAGTTCTTGCATTGACTTAAGTCTCCTTTCTTTGGTAGTTTGAATAAGTATCCTTTCTTCCAATCTTCAGGTACTTTGCCTTCTTTCCACACCTTCTCCAGTAGTGGCGTCATCAAGTCCGCTGTTGTCTCTGGGTCCATTTTCAATGCTTCTGCTGGGATTCCATCTGGTCCTGCTGCTTTTCCAGCTTTTAGCATCTTGATTGCCTTCAGGACTTCTGATTTCGTCGGGGGATTGGTGTTCACTGGTAGCTCTGTCTCCGTCGTTGGTATTGTTGGGCGCGTTGTAGGTGGTGGTCAATTTAGGAGTCTTTTGAAGTGTTCAGCCTAGTGTTTCCTTTGCCCCACTTCTTTGGTGAGTGACTTTCCATTGTCATCCTTCACCGGTTTAATTTGTGTCAAACTTTTGCCCGATAGGTACCTAGTTGTTTGGTAGAGTGTTGTGAGGTCTCCTTTGCCTGCAGCTTGTTCTGCTTCACTTGCCATGGCTTCATAATATTTTCTTTTGTCTTCCCTGGCACTCTTCTTTACTCTTTTGTTCAGTGTCTTGTAGCTTGCATTCAAATCCTGTTTTTGTTGCTCATCGGTGCACTGGAGAATCTTTTGTTTCACCATCCCTCTCTCTTCTATGAGTCTCCAAGTGTCCGTAGTATAAAGGATAATAAACAGGCCTCATTTCTTTCATTAACACTGCTGGGTAAGTTAATACCATTATTTCATTCAACTCTGATCACCACTTGAAAGAGAATTATTGTACACTAAGGAGCACTGGATGTGCGTTTTGTCCCTGCTTTGGACTCTTCAATAGAGCGCGCCCATGGCCTCGCCAGAGATAAAATCAAGGATTTTTAGTCTAAAAGGCGAACTTATATACTATTCAGCCACTGACACGGGATCGGATAGCTTCTAAATTCTAGCTTCTGCCTATTTAGTTTTTATTGCTTTAGACAAATATTTCTTTGACAGCACTAGAAGTATTTAAGAGGCCTAAGATTGCTTTGGAAAAAGATACGATATGGGTTTATTAGCCCACGTGTTTCATAATTAAACAAAATTACTTTATCAGCATACATTTCATTCTGAAATAGCTGAATGGTCGAAAATACGAGAATCAAGTGCGTAGTGAAAGATTTGCAAAAAATCTCCGACGAATGAATCAGTGATTCTAAATTAGTTATCAGGATCACACTGCTAATGTCTCAGTCTATAAATCACACTTATTTGTTTATAGCTGATGATGCTACCTAGTTTCCCAAGCTGGAGTAGGTAGAATAAGATTAGAATCCCTGATTCAGTCATCTGCATCCTGATCTGGACCAGACAGTCTACACCCTCTTGGGTAGTACAACAATCAGTGACTCATTGGATTAGTACCAAGTTCTGCTTTGATCAATTCTAACTTATATTCAACCTAGTCATTCTTCAATTAGCACTGCAACTGAAAAAACACAGCGACTGAAATGTGTAACAAAAAAAATAGAAAATGTGATCCTAAACTTTTAAATGACATATGTAGAAAAGAAGAACTCATTAACTGAAAATAACGTTAGTTGACAATTTTCTGTTTGTTAAAAAGGTCATGACTCCACACAGAGATAAGAGTTTATTAAGCAGAAAAGTATTTGTAGACAATTTTTATGCATCGGCTGATGCACTCTCAAACCTCAGCTAGTTTTCCATCAGATAGTGAGCCCAAAAAAGCGGTAAGGTTTGACATCAGTCTAGCAAAACCACCTCTTGGAAACAGGACAACTGCTAATAAAACTGCAAAGCTTGAAGCTCAATGTTCCATCCAGAACGCCAGGAATAAAAAAATACCGTAAATCAAGAAGTTAATTCACTGTGTATTATTGAAAGCAGTGGCGTTTACCATCAGCAGATATCACATGCGATGAATTGGACGCACGTTGACGAGACCGTTAAGTGACATCATCCAGGTACTCGAGTAGAACCCGAGTGTGAAATGAAGAGTTTGGCGTCACTTCGAGGGTAACATGGAGGAGATCGTGTGGAGAGGAAGTTAAAGCCTATTGGAAATCGTTGAATCAGGTAAAAAAAAGACTGTCAAGACCAGGGTGAAATGAAGATATGCCGTTGAAGCTGTTCCATCCGGAATCCAAAAGAATAATAACAATAACAATAGACTATCAAGCAGTGAGACAAAACAATCAACTAGCATCAGTCTAGTCAGATAGACATAACTGACAAAAAAACATCAGACAACATAAATATAACGAATATGATGTAAACCTTTGTTTTTTCCCTTTGCTTCTAATCAACAATTACATAATGATAATAATCAGTCCATTCTTAGTGAATAGTCTCAGGCTTCAATATATGTATATAAATATATCAATTTAATCTTATCAATAAATCTTGTTTTTATTACTGCTTAAAATAGCATAACTTACGTGTTGATTAAAAGTATTTAACTGGCCTTCATGACATGGAAATCCTTCAACAATAACAGCTCTACTATTGATTGCAATATTACTAAACTCTTGACGAATTATATCAACTTGTACATCCTAGAAAAAGTTTTTAAAAAAAACATTTTAAATTTATACAGAGAAACTATGCATTTATGTAATGCATCTCAAATAGTCAGATAGCTCAAAGGAATGGCTTAAAACAATCTGAATATATAGATTACTTGAAAAGCTTTTGTTTTAGGAGACTAATTTATCTTTTGGAAAAGGATAACGCTTGAAATTGAAGTGGAAACCTTGATTACAAAAGAATAATTTAAACATACAATCCCTGAATAGGAAGTACAGTCAGATTTTGTCCAATTTTAATTATTCTTCCCCTAGAATTAAGTATTATATCACCGGAGAAAATAAGAAAGTAATTTTGATGATTGAAGACATTAAGTCCCTGAGTAATTCGTCCAGTTGAAAAAATTATTTTCGCCTAAGTGGACATATAAGCATGATAACAGTTACACTATGAACTTAGACAGACTACTTGCTGCTAGTGCCTACTTGAAAAATAATGAAGCCCAAATGCAAACTTATGGAAAGAGACTTTTTGGCGCAACACCAGGCCGTCTAATATCACAAAACTCATTGAGCATATCGTAATTCCCCTGAATGAAGTTGCTTTACACAACTGTTCCTCTATCTATAGAGCCAAATCTAAAAACATCCCAGTGATTTTGCTGCTTCTAAGTGCACTTATCAAGATATAGTGCTAGATGTGAAGACTGATGAGATAACATGAGTGTCAACTGTTTGAAATACAGAAATTGGGATTCCTTTTTAGTAGAATCAGTTATCCAGCATAAATTACTTTCATATCTGCCGACTACCACTAGTGAAATAGTGGCTCCAACTATGGACAGCCAAGGCTTAAAAAAGACTTGCCACACATACAGGTAAGAGAAAGCGTAGTTGTAAACAATCTGTTTTAAGTCAAGCTTATGCAAAGCGCAACTACCATCACATATAGAGGGTGAGAAATGAAACTTATTGTTTCCATTGACTGAGGAGAAATCATCCAAACTGCTTTCTTTTAAAAAAGGCTATAGACTGAATAATCATTGAGTATTACACAAAAATAAATAAAATTTCAGGACTTACCCAATACTCTGGAATGATCCGATCCTGGTAAATCAAAAGAAAAGAATTGATTAACAAATTTACCTACTGTTACTTATACATTACATTAAATCTGGAAAAGTATTTTGGAAACATTTTCGTAATTTAACGATCCCCGGCGGGCCCGTACTGATGACTCCCAGACTGGGACGAAACAGATGTCCAGTACCCCCTAGTTTTCAGTAGTTCCCTAACCGATATCAGTCTGTAGTTAAACTTGAAACATGTCAGATCCCAACAAACCAACTCTTGGAAAAGGGATTATTTACGTATGAAGTGCAGTATCCTTAAATAAACTAAAAAGGATTCAAAGCAAATGAATTTTCAATATTTTGTTGTTTTAATTTCCGAATATATGCCATTTTCTTATACTTTGTGTTTACTATCTTCACCAATGAGTATTTTACAGAAACCTTATACTTCTGTCTTCTGTAGGAGTATTCTAATATCAATTTATATGCAGACACAGTTGTTAGTAGAGGAACTAACTGATTGTAAACGCAAAGGCGTAGCCTATAAATATGAACCAAGATATTGTTTCCCAGATGAACAGCTTGTTCTGTAAGCGTAGACGTAAATAAACATCTAGGATGTATAGAAATAATATTTTTTAAACCTAGTGTAACTGTATATCAGTGAGAAGTTTCAAAACTCTTCAGTAAATATATCAAAAAAAGAACTCAACAAAATGGAAAATAAAAACGAGGCACGAATGGACTTGTACTGCAACAACTGATTATGAATCATAGCTCAGTACAATGACTTCAATTACCTCATTATTATTTACTGTACCCCTAAATTCTGAGGGGAACATACGGCTTCAGTAATACATCTCCTGTTCTATACAGTCTTCTTTGGCTGCCCGTATGATAGACCTCAAACTCTCATCTTCTCACACGATCTTCTTCATATCACCCTCAGAAGCCCAACTCATCGTTCCCCATCTGAGTTCCACGCGAGGACCTGGCGTGATGTCACTCAGCAGTCTCCACACCATGGATCCGACACATATCCATTTCCTTCGGCATATTTGTTGGGCGATAGGTTCTTGGTTGATTTGTTGCCTGCCAGAGTTCCTTGATACTTATCCTTGCTACCAGCCATCTAATCTTTAGTATGGAGTGAAAGCAGCTGTTGATGAAGTGCTTTAGGTGACGCGCGTGTCATGTCTCTCAACCACATAGGAGAACCGGCTCGAAATTAATGCTGAAAATCCAAATTTTGTTCTTTATGCTTAGTGAGGCAGATTTCCACACTGATTTAGTTTAATGAAGGTCTATCTTATCTTGCCAGTACTGATGGGCTCTGACATCTTTATGCGTGTCACCTTCAGCTGAAATGATGCCGGATAGATTAATGAAAGAGGTGAGCTCCTTCAAATAACTCATGCTGATGATGATTGGTGCTTATTATTGTTTGTTATCTTCATCATCCCTGTCTTCGCTATCTGATCCTTCTGCCAACTTGTTGGTTTTCGCCTGTAAGTATTCCAGTGTATATGACATCAGACATAAATCGCCGGTGAAGTCCAGATGTCCTACAGTCTTCATATCGGTCTAACGTATTCCTATCTTCTCGATCACTATGTGCTGCCGCATGATCCACTTCACCACCATCGGATTTATCATCAGTAATAATAGACAGCCTTGTATTTCTCATGTCTTCACTTGAACAGCTTCTGGGAATTTTCTGTTGTCAATCACTTCACATGTGGCATCGTCATATAGCTGTTGAGTTGGTTTGATAAAGATCTGGGGCAATTCGTAGTATTGAAGCAGTTTCCAGATCACTTCGTGGTCAGTAATTCTACAGGCTCCAAAACCGAAGATGGCATTTACTCACCTGGCTGAAATCAGCAATCAGAGAACCCATGGTTTGAAATCAGCTCCCCTTTTCCCAGCATAGTCTCATTCCATCTAATATTTTATCTTAGTGCATACAGTAAGTCATAATACATTATAAGTGTTCCTGTCTTAATGTTTACACACACTACCGCTAAGATTTTAACATCTTCTTTGCAGAATAAGTTAACTCAAGCCGTAGCAATAAACGTCCCTTACAATAGTCATTTGATCTTAGTGTTTAGAGTAATTTAATTTAATTCCACAAGACTGACAATTTTCACAAATATCTTTTGTTAAATAACATGAAACGAACGGACATACTTATGATTTCAGCACTGTTTTAAATCCTTGTTTTTATATTTGAATGAGCAACCCTATAATTACATATCTTTCATGATTATGAAACACGTTATCCATCTTCTACATACCATATTTCCACTAAATAATATATCTCATAAATTTGTGAACAAATAGTGTTGGAAAAACCGCTTACTAAGTAGATCTCATTTGATAAAATTATTAATTTTTCTTCCATAAGTCGAAATCAATCTCTTTATACTCAGGCAAGAAAAACAGATGAGAAAAACAGAAGATTACCTTGTCAGTTGGTGGATCACTGGAATGTACTCGACGTGCAATTACATCCCAGTCTTTATCACTATCTTCATCAATTAAATCTAATACACGTTTTCTTAAATAATCAGTTACATTAAAGTGTTTTAAACCAGGCAACTTTTTGCATAATGCTCCAGCTTGTTCAGTACGTCCAGAAGCTGGACCACCTAAAACAAGAGAAGTATACAAAGAATAGGCTAGTAAATACCAATTGATAAAGAAGGAAGATGGTTGAATCTTACAATAAATAGTACATTATTTCATATTATCACTACTGACAACAATATAAGGACAATGATATGTATGTATATATGAAAGACGAAATAACAAAGAAGTGCCCTTAAAAGTATAAAGTTAAAGATTACTGTTGAAATCGTCTTTAAGACTAAAATTTATTTTTAAAATATGCTTCCCATAATATTTAGTTTCTGATAATTAGCATTTTGGATTTAATTCACTTCCAAATGTTTTGGCGGTCTACATGAATCACTGGGCTACCTGGATTATCATTCATCATAATGCATCACACCATTTCCCAGTTTCTCGTTCTTTCAATCATTCAGTTGTGTCTTTGGGTGGTAAAATGTACTCAAGCACATTTTTATTTGACTTTTAACCTATCGTTGTGCATCATAGGGAAATGGTCGGCACTACAGATCTAACGTCACGGTATCATTTGATTTTTTATGGATTACTGTTTTGTTGGTATTAGATGGTTGGAGGCAATCGGTCACAGGAATTCTTTCCTGACCTAGGTTTCGTGCTAGTTGGCACTCATTAGCAAGACTTATCTGAAACGTTGAAGGAACTCATGTCCCTTCTGAGATTCGAACCCACGTCACCCAATGAGGAATGCAGTCAGAGACGTTGCCACTGAGCTATTCGCGCTCGCGACTGACCCTGTTCCTGTAGGACTGTATTGCATACTTTGATTGTACATTAGCAACTAGTATGATGTGTCTAGTCCTTTGTTTGGTGCAGACTGAATTCTATCAGTCAAGCTAGCAGTGTAGCCATCCTGCTAGGTGGCTCGCCATCACGGTGCACCGTGAACTGTTGGTTTTAGATGGTTGAGTGTAATCGGTAGGAAGCCTTTTATTTATTTTACTTGAAGATCCTAGAAGAAGAGAAAATACTAGGCAATAAATTACTCTGAGAATTCTGTATATTTTGTTTAGAATAAAGCTGTTGTTATTACTATTAAGAATGAGTCACACAACCTGGATTCCTTGTGCAACAACTTATTAGATAACACGCTACAGCATACGGTAATGAGTACTCTATGTATTAATTTGTGTAAAAAAAAGGCTAATAAGCCCTCCAGTGCACTCAGCACACACAGCTGACTCTACTATATGACAGACTATGTGACTACAATTCTCACTGTAACCCCTGTCGAACGTAATTACAAACAAATGGTTTGCGAATATCACATCTACAGCTATAACTAGTCATTATTGTCAAGTGAAACGAAACTGCTTAATTTCATATGAATTCAAAAACCTCATGAGACACAATAACTTATCAACTCAAATACTGGATACTTAAAGTCATCCTACCTTGTACAACTAAATACCACTGCACAAGATCATGATAGTCTAAAATATCTTTCAAAATATTAAATATTCCCATAGTAGAATTTAGAACAAGATACTTAAGCGAACAATATTGTTTTCAATTAGATCTCATCAGGCCTAACTCTAATATACATAAATTTACAAATAAATATTGGATAAAAATACCTGAGACGATGACAGTATGGAAGAAACACCTATTTATTAAGCTACAATTTAATGGGGACTTGTCAAGTGAAATTTTGTCCCAGAGACTGACCGGAACTATACGCAGAAGATTTCATCCAGTAAATCTGTATTTGTCATTCTCTAGTCGACGAATAATTGGAACGCAAATGAAGGATGAGTCAGATAGTTCTTCCACATCTTTGTGTATTTATCAGTTCAACTGCTCCTGCGGAGACACTTGTGTTGTGTGTACTACTAAACAGCCTAGCAAACGTGTTACTGAACATCTCCCTTCGTCGTTTATCAGATGACTGACAAAAACTATCCGTAGCTCCGTTCTGTCACATTTAATTGATAGTGGTTGTTTAATGGAGAAAACGAAAGCTTTCAAGGTGACCAAATCTTTCCAATGGACTTCGTATTCGTTTACCGCACTTAGCTGAGGAGATAAGCATTCGAACTATTAAGCCTAAACTATACATTCAAAAGAAGTTTGTACAGACATTACCCCCCCCTTGGCCTATTAAGACCTAACCAACTGATGACGTCACCACCACTCCATACTTATATTTTTAATCATCCCTTAATCTTATAACATCTTCATTAAAACGTAGTTTATCTACTTCCCTTACAATCTAGCATCACTTAATCGGTCCATTTGTTTTTCTTAGACTTTAATGACTACTTCTACTTGAACATTTGTTTGTTTAATCATTCGGTTTTTCATTATCCTTGTTATCACAGATCCCTTCACTTTTTCCTCTTTGTCACTGATAGAATCATTATTATTATTTTGACTAACTGTATAATTTATGAGCATAATCTTATCATCCCATTGACAAATCACCATGATAGGTTTATATTTTAGTATTTATTTGTAATGTTATGTATATTAGAGTTAATGTTCGCTTAAATGTCTTGTTCTAAAATATCTTGGGAAATAATGACTCTGTTACTGAAGCCTTAAGCCTATAGAAGATTAGAAATCCTTGTCTGACGATTATGAGTTATATGATCGCAGCAGCATAAATGTATTGCTTAGTATTGCCTTTTACATCCCAATATTTTTTTCGCAAATTTAAAAATGTGGTGGAACAGAATTAGTTTAATCTGACGTCTAGCGTAATGAACGAGATAGCTTTGCAATACAAGAACTGCACCATGAAAACAGTCATAATCAGAAAAATCTACAGTCAGTGCATATCATCTGCCCTTTTTTCACAGTCAACAAGCTCCACGTGTAGCCCAAACTTCCTAGGTTCATCCACTGATAAAGTCATAGATGTGTAGTGCTGAAGAGTCCCAAGAAGAACGAAACAACTGTCCAGCACTGCCTGGCTTCCAGTTGCTATCTAAATGAAGTTAGTTCTTGAACGAACTTGAAATATCACCTATTACAGACATCCACATATTCATTTTATGTAATAGAGAGTATAGCAACAGCTACTTGATCGGCCTAATTTTAGCATCCTAATACCAAAGAATGTATATCGGTGGTCTAGAGTTCGATTCCCAACTGACACACTCCTAAGCCTCGCTTAGCCAGCAGTAAGACCGGTAAGGAGGGAAAGTTGACCGTGAGGCTAGCAACCCCACTCCATTAAAAATAAACACCACTGATACTGAATCTTCGAAGCTTAAACTTGAAGCCCTGCGTCCCACTCGGAACGCAAAAGAATAAAAACAAATGCACCAGAAATACATAATATTCAAAGATTTAACCTAATAACACAGTTACGATATTCACACTTATCTTCATTAGCGATGAGTTCAGAACTCAAGTTCCTGGTTGTATAAAAGCAAGCTGACAAAATAATTAAACATATAAGAAGAAATTAAGCTAAAATATTGCAGTTCACAAAAGCATAATCAACACTGGGATACAGCGAATCACGAGGTTTTCTAGAAAGTTGGAAGTAAAAATAACTCCATCACTTTATCAAATAACAGAAGTTTATTTCCATCTGAAAAGAGATTTTAAAAATCACTGCTATAAAAAGTAAAATACAGTTTTCAAGTATTTTACTGTAGAGATTTTTTGAATTTCAAGAAAGATTTCGTCAGAAACAATCGTGATTTAGAGGGTCATTGAGAACGAAGGAGTTTTAAGCGTCTCTTCTGTCTCAGTTTGAAACTCTTCAGCAGTACGCATCAGCCATTACCCAATCAGAGATAGAACCCAGGACCTTCAGGTTATGGTGAAAGGCCGCTGACCATTCACCCAGTCGGATGAAAGACAGTAACCCTTAAATTTCTCACTTCTGCCGATTCAAGAGATACAGCACCACCTCCAGCTAGTGCCACTGACCATTATCGGTGAGTCATCATATTCCTCAACTTGGTAGAGGGCATAAGTCACGAACTCTTATTAGAACTGCAGAAAGCTCATTAACTGATCAGTCACAAGTGAGCAGTGCATTAATTTTCAAGTCTATCGGTACTTTGATGAACACTTTTGTATTCACCAACTTTAAATTCTTCCTTCTGCAGACCTTCATTAACAGTTGTCTTCGCTCAATACTCAAGATAAGATGGCCAGAAAAGATCACCAACAGAGACCTCTGGGAGCGAACCAACACAGCAGGAACCGATTGTGCAACAAATAGGCAGGAAGAAATGGAGATGGATTGGCCATACTCTGAGGAAACCATCAAGTGACATCACTAGACAAGCCATTGCTCGAGTGGAACCCAAAAGGGAAGCGGCGAGTTGGTAGTCAGTGCAAGGGTGACTTGGAGGAGGTCATGTGAAGTGGAGATGAAAGCATGTGGGCAGACTTAGAGCCCGGTGAAGACTCTAGCAGAGAACTGAACGCAATGGAGACACACGGCTGAAGCCCTATGTTTCTCTAGGAATTAAAGGAAACAATAATAATATAATAATAAAGTCTTCCTTTATTTTAAGTTCCTGTTATACAAAAACTTATAACTGCATAAATTACAACTTACCAAATAAGAGTATTATAGGGCAACTATAAAGATCACTGGAACGACCATTGTCAGGAAACGTCGGTGTAATTCGTGGAATATTGAATGCACGCATTCTATCTTCACATCCCATCATACCATGACTTGCAGTAGGAATTGGTTTGTTAGGTACAGTACCTGGAGATGGACGTGTTTCTGGTCCTGTTCGGAAGAAAACGAAACAACATATGTTCACTAAATACTCTAAAACTTTACTTCAACATATTTTCTATGCTGCTAACTTATGTCTGACTTGCCTGAGTCAAGGTATGATTCAGAAGTTTGAAAAATAAACTACCAATTTAGCCCACTTCTACGTGTATCTACTGTTTCACAGGCTTCCGTGGAGCTGATTACATTAAGTATTGTCAGCGAGGTATTCGAAACTTCCTATCTAACATTATCAGATAGTCGTTGTGGTTCAATAGCCTATTGGATAGTATTCTGACCTTTGAAGTAATGAGTGAAGGGTTGCACCCTCAAATAGAATAGTGTAATTCTCTGGGGAGTAGGTACATCTGTCTGACGAGTCTTACAAAGGGACGAAACATGCCGCCTGGATTCTTATGGTAGCCACTGTTAACCAAATAATATTTTTAAATTATTTGTGCTTGCCTTTTGCTAATAAATTTTACCTAAACGAGAAATATTCATGTTAATATAAGACGTAATAAACCATTTCAATCTCTAAATGTTCCTTAACCTACTAGCCTCATCAGCAGTCGTGGGCTTGGCCACGGAAACTCTTATTTAGTAGGTTTTAAAAAGCCACCTGAGTGACAAAAGACATTTATAATTATATATCTATTACGTATTTCACAAATCCTCTACTAGCTATGTTTTAACGAAACGGAGTGAAAAGACTGGATGGTAGGAAAGACAGAATAAAAATGATTCAAGCAATAAATAAATAAATATCCCTGCAAAACAACTTACCAATCATATTTCCAGAAAGTATATATTCACAAACTTTCAAAATATCTTTTGCAATTACATCTGGTTTATTTTCACCATCAACCTATTAAATAATGAATGAGGTAAATACAATTTTTAATAAAGAATTCAACTTTTAGTGATTAATTATTATTATTCCCGGAAACTCTGGGAACCAACCAACCAAGTACTTATCACTCAACAAATACACAGAAGATAATGGAGATGGATCGGACGCACACTGGGAAGACTATCAAATGAGGTCACGCTCCAGGCCATATCGCTTGAGTGGAACTTGAATGGGACACGTTGAGCCCTGCGTAGACCCAAAGGTGACTTGGAGAAGATGAAAATGTATGGGAAATTATGAGGCCAGCTAAAGAAGACTTCAGAGAACAGAACAAATTTTAGATGTACTGTTCAATCCTTGTGTTCCACTCTTGGCGAAATAGCTGTAAGCCATTGTAGCAGTAAATATTTCTCTAAAATGATTAGCCTAGAGCTTTCGTAATTCAGCATCGGGTGGGGGTGGGGGTGTTCACTGGTTAGGCTGAAAATACGCTGCCAAATATCCATGCCAGTTAACACTGTTGTGTTATTTTCATTGGACACTAGTAACTAATGTGATGTGTCTAGTCCTTTGTTTGGTGCAGACTGAATTCTATCAGTTAAGTTTTGCAATGTGGCCATCATTCTAGGTAGCTGGCCATCACGGTGCACTGTGAATTGTTGGCATTAGATGGTTGGAGGCAATCGGCAGGAAGCCTTGGACCTAGGTTTCGTGCTCTTCGAGCCTGAATGGCTCAGTGGTAGCGTCTCTGACTGCAGCACTGGGTGACGCGGATTCGAATCTCAGAAGGGACATGAGTTCCTTCGAGGTTGCAGATACGCCTTGTTGACTTGAGTGTCAACTAGCACGAAACATAGGTCAAAGGCTTCCTGTGGCCGATTGCCTCCAACCATCTAATATCAAATGTTGTGTTATGTCCACTTGTTCTTGCACCAACCCCAGATAGTTAGGCAGTCACCACTGCATTTTATTTCTGATCTCGAAATAGATCTCGCATTTTGGACGATAAATCTATTGTTGTGATTTGTCTCTATTCTATGTAGAACAAGCACTCTGGAATATGGAAGAAATACACCTGCATTATATCTTGTTTAACTGTCGATATTCTTCAGCTTCTAAAACATTTACACTGTAGTAGATGTACTCAGTTTTATAAATTTTGAAAATTTATACTATTCATTAAATTATTCTGTTCACCACACAAATATATTCATCACTATAGTATTACTGTACTTTTATTCTCTTCATTTAACTGAACTTTTATGTGCACGGTTTTACACTGAGTTGTCTCTCTATCTTTTACCCTGACTTTTCAAAATCTATGGTGAACAAAACCATTCTATAGCTGTATAACTATTAAACTATTACCACAGTCTACCCATACTTCACTAACTAATAAAATTTTATTCCCACTGAAAATTTTACTAGATTATATTTGATGATATCTTCAAAAAACATCAACAGACAATCTTTTTTACTAATATAATCTAAGTATCCTGATAGTAGCTTAATTCGCCCAAAACAATGGTCTTCTTCAATGTAAGTCAACCAGTTGCTACGCCTTAAATAACCATTTCATTATAGGGAATAACATATTATATATATAAATATATATATACGGAAATTAGACAGCTAAAACCTTTTATAACAGGGCTTATGAAATAGCTAATAAAGGGAAAAATTCATTTAATATTCACACAGAATAACTGATAAATTCAACTCATGTGTCTATGTAATCGATTCAAACAACTCTGTGATGAAGTACAGGGAATGTAGTATGCATGGATTGTTCATATGCCATGCTATGGCTCAATGGTAGAATTCTTGTCAGCCACACAAGTGGTCTTGTTTCTATTCCTGGCCAACACGCTCCCAAGTTTCGCCTAACTTATAAGTTTATAGAAGGACTAATATAAAGAGCGAAGGTTGGGTGTAAGGTTAGCAGCCCCAACCTGCAGAAAAAGCACTATCGTTACTGAAAAATCAAAGCTCGATGGCTTATGTCCCAGTAGAAATGCAAGCGATGAAAGCAATAATGTATTGTTCGTGTTATCTGTTTTGTGGTAGCTAGGAGCACAAGTTAAGAATATGTACTTTGTAATGCTTAGAAAGGCCAAGTTATACATACTTTCATTGTGATGACAGCACCTTCACAAATAATGGGATCTCTAAAGCATTGTTTTAAATGTTAACGTGAATCTATCAGTCTAGAAAGTTATATTAGCCACTGTAATTCGGTGGATATTGACTAGCAGTGGAATCCATCATGCGTATTTCTTCTTGTTTGGCACTAGTCATCTGGATGTAGCTGCAATTCCTAGCGAGTGATGGTGTTCCTACTGAGACTGGACACTATTACCCATTGAAATAGGTGGAAATATGCATCTTCAACTCAGCTGCTAGTCACCATCCATCAAATGGCGTCCTGTTAATCCTCAGACTTCTTTGAAGCTATCTTACTGAGAAAACAACTTGCCAACAGAAATTGAAGATTTCCGTCCAGTGAATCAATGGGCTAGGCAAAAATGACTTAAACAAAATCAATACTTGAAAATTCATCTGATGCTCATTAGTGAATGGCACTATTCAGGCAGTTCACCTGGGGTTGTAATGGCAAGCCGTGACCAGTAGGCTGCAGAAGGTTGAAGGTAAGGCAGTAACTCATGGAAGAAGACATTGCAAAGTAGTCGTGAACTGACAGAAGTTATAATTCAGTGGCTTGTCATTGGATTGCGTCCTAGTGGCTTAATGGTCTCGAGGTAGCTTGCCTTGTAACCAGAAGGTCCTGAGTTCGAACCCTGGTGGCGGGTGCGTACTGTGAAGAGTCCCAAACTAGGACGAAATTGCTGTCCAGTAATCCTGGGTTTTCCAATAGTTTTCTAACTGATGTCAGCTAATGATGAAACCCTCCAACCAATTAAACAAAATACATCAGCTAGTACTTAAAATGTTGTTATTTAAGCTTTTTAATTTCCCACAGTTTAATTTTTTTAATTTTTGATTACAGCTTGATTCCACACCGTATTTTCTGGTACAGGTATGGAATTTCCAGCATGTGATATCGGTAGCCCAAATATTGCAAGCCGATCATACATATCAGGTGTGCGTCGGCAGGAGACCGAACCTCCGACCATGTGCATGATCAGTGAGAGTCATAATCGCTGTGCCACCGACGCATAGATGAAACTCTTTTGGTATATGAGCATAGCTGTATACTTATACAAATGTTCCAGTAATCTGTCGTTATTTTCAAATAAGAACTATCAAAATCCACAAATATTTCTGTAAAACAAAACCAAGAACTTACAACTCTGAGTTTTTCATCATTATCAATAAGTTTACATGTTGGCAGCGTTTGAGTTTTAAATAAACAAAGACGACGTTCAACTGACCCTGGTTCATTGTTTTTGAAATATTCATCAGCTTGAGATTCTTTTTCACTTAAACGTTGTCTACAAAATTCTTCACTAACATCGAGTAGAATCACACAACCTAATCTCTCCATATTAACCTGATAATTTATAATACAGAAAAAGAAAAAAACATTGAGTTGGATGGATTTATTAACAGCGAGACAATAGCAATGAATTCAATTATAAGGCGATCATTGATGTTATATAGTACACAACTGCAACGAAATATGAGTAATAACCTTTTGAACTAACTGTGCTATGTGTAAAACAACCAAGTTAGATATAATGACCATTACTCTGATAATTCGAATAGCATGATGCAAGAGCTATCACAGCATACAATGATAACAGATACAATTCCATCATAGAGCTGACATTGGCTAGAGAACCATCAGAAAACCAGCTGGGAGTACTGGACAGCTTTTTTGTCCCAGTTTTGAACTCTTCATCTGTAAACACCCACCGGGGTTAGAACCCAGGAGCTTCTGGTTGCAAGGCGAGCTAGCTCGTAGACCATTAAGCCACTGGGACCCAATCCAATGGCCCATGAATTCCAACTTCTGCCAATTCACCACATTTTCTAATGGTTCTCTAACCGATGATGAAATCCTGTAACCAATCAATCAAATCTGTACAAACCAGTACTTGAATACAGCATCCCTTTTTGATAAAATCCCAAAACGATACAGTAATGCAATTCACTGATGACATTTTGAGGTCAATTCATTGCTCATAATCATATCGAGGTACTCATATAACTTTCAAACACCATTATTACTGTTCTGTTATTCCCTATCCTTTGATTTTATTGGTAGTAATACTTTCTGTAAACCTATTATTAAGTGATCAATCTTTCCTTCCTAGCTATCCTTATTAATTTTTGGAACTATAACTCTGTCAAACCTTATAGTGTGATTGTGTGTTAATGCATGCATTGGGATCACCGAGTTTATCTCTAAACTATTCTTCTTCCTGGGGTCAGTCATTCCATGTTCCGATAATCAGACTACCCCGATCTACAGGTTTGATGTAGATATTACAAGGTATTTTGTAGACTACATTATTTTGTCCAGTTGGGTCGATAGAATCTAGCATAGCTAAACTTTAAGCAGCAGTAAGTACCAATGGAGTACGACAGCACCAGTTACCTCAGAACCTTCGGTCAGCAAGTTATTGAAACCAAGCAAATAACATTAAACTCGTGAATAAAATATGCTTAATGAGGCGTTTCGGTATTAAACATCTAGTAATTTTTCGTTAAGTTTGGGAGAAGGACAGGTTAAGGTTAGGTTGACCTGATAAGGGAGATATTACGGTTGATCGATTTAGATTAGGATTAGTTTAAGGATAGTTTAGGCTTAGGGCTTCGTTAAGGAAAGATTAGTGTTAGGGTTAGAAGACCTAGATAAATACATGTATAGAATTTAGAATAATTACTATATTAACAGTCCAATCCTAGACTAAGAGACATTTTCGTTACACGTCAGAGAAAGCTGTCCTGTGTAACACTTACCTGCTTTTTTATTCAATATTCTCCTAAGTATATGTATTTTATACATACGAATTGCTTTTTTCATGTGTGTGTGTGTTATTGTGTTCCAGGTCATTTGTTCACTGCTTCATTTTGGTGCTTAAAGTTTAACGTCGTCTAGAGTCCTTTAGCCTACAGACCTTGTCCCTGAGTGATTCTGTAGAAATTATGCAACACCAATACCAGAGATATGGATATGTGCGTCGGTGGCACAGTGGTTAGTACTCTCGCCGACCATGCACATGGTCCGGGGTTCGATCCCCTGCCGGCGCACACCCGATATCTATGGTTGGCCTGGAAAATTTGGGCTACCGATATCACATGCTGAAAATTCCATACTTGTACCAAAAATACGGTGTGGAATCAAGCTATAATAAATAAATAAATAAATAATAATAAATAAATATTATTACCAATAAAATTAAACGATAGGGAATAATAGGACTGTACTAACGATGTTTGAAAGTTATGCTAATGTCTCGATATGATTATGAACAATAAATTGTCCTCCAAACGTCATCAATGAATTGTATCAATAAATCACTGTGTGATTTTATCAGATAGATTTACTCTATGATAGAATTAAATTCTACGCAAGGGTCCATGTTCTATTCTTATATCAATAAAAGAGTAAAAGTCAAAGTTATACGGGAATCTTAACTTTCACACTCACGATAAGTATAAAAGTTAAGATTGCCTGCTTCTATCGAAAACAAAAGTTTATGAAGTAATTATGATGTCTTCATCTGTAAAGTCTCCCTGTAAAAATGTTACATACTAGGAGATGGATATAAGCACATAAGACGCATGATATCGCCTACTTGAGTATACTAAATAAAGTAAACTGGGATTCCAGCTTTTAAAGGGATAACAATTATTTGTCGAACGGTAATTTATCACGAATAAAAGAAAGCCTTAATGGCCTCCTCCCAAGTGACATAAGCTACTTCAAAATCTGGCACACGTTGTGCTGTCAAGTTTGTATGAACTACAACAAAACCCCAAATAGGAAAAACATCTTACATGCTTTTTAAGATCTGAATACTGTCTCTCAGTTCTTGGATAACCATCAACTATAAAGCCATCTGCACTAGCATGCTGATTCAACTTCCATAAAAATGATTCTAAAACCATATCCTAAAGAGAAATTTTTAATTTCAAAAAATAATAATAAATGCGCTTAATACAGATGGTAAAAATTCTCCACTGTTAATCATTTTCACAGCTTCTGGCCAACGGGGTGTTTTCTTTTCTGCTTCAATTTTTGCTCGTTTTTTTAATATTGTTGCCATATTCACATAAATAAAGTTAGGATAATGTGGAATAATTCCTGATGAAAACATTGATTTATCTACACCTGGACCAGAGACAATACATATGATCACAGCACTAGGCTTAATATCGAGTTTAGTTGAACTGATCCCAGGTTGTGGATCATATTGTGAATTATCATCAATTTCTGAAAGAAAGAAAAAAGGTGGAAAAGGGAACTAATAATTTCAAAAAACAAACAATTTTATTGCATCAAGTGATAAAATTTTATGAGTTCATCTTACATCTTGCAGGTGGAAACTAATAAGTTCCCTGAAGAGGTAACCTAACTAATAACAACAAGCAGCAGTCACTATTAGCGGCGGAAATTAGAAAGGAGTTACCCCTTTCCCTTACCTGTCTAGACAGCATGATTTCAACTACAGACGCATGGATGAAGGTGTGAAAGCCAGAATTGAAACAGCGGGACAGAGCTTCATTACTTCACTCAGCCGAATAAACAAGATCCAAACTTTCAACACTAACGCCAAATTGGCACTTCAGTCAGGTTCACAGAGGCCTGGTACTATACGAAAAGTATTTTGAACAGACTGCAGAATTTTGTCAACAGCTGCCTTCGTTCAATACTGAAGATCAGACAGCCGGCCGGAAACGATAAGTAACGGATCAACCGAGAACCTATTGCCCATTAAATATGCTGAAGGAAATGTAGATGGAGGAAACTGCTGATGAGTGACATCGCACTCCAGGCCCTAGAGTGGAAGGTAATTGTGAGACAATGAATTGGGCTGTGATCTGAGGGTGAAATGGAGTAGGTTGTGTCAGTGGGAAATAGAAGTTCATGAGCAACAGTGAAGCCAGCTGGAAAACAGACTGTAGACAACAGAGTGAAACAGAGACATCCTGCGTTTTACGTTCTACCAGGAACTCAAGGGAATAACAATAATAATAGTAGTTTTAGTAGTAGTATAATTATCTTGTATCATGTACACAGTGCCTCATTTCAATATTCAAGTGTATCAAATGCATAAAGACATAATTAACATCTTTTAACAGTCAGTTTTCACTTTAATCTTTTACGAGAATGAATGCCTATGAAATTACATTGGTACTACTGCAAATTTTTTATGCATAAATTAAAAAAGGTTGACGATTACCCAGAACACTGTCCTAATAATCCCTAAATAGCTGTTTAAACAACAATATAAGCATACGAAGTGATAGTAAATCTCATTTATCAAGCAACAGCTAAGTATGTAAAAAGATATATTTCCTTTGCTTATAAAATTCTATTTGTTAGACTGCTACATCGAGTATTTATATCAAGAATATTATTTTTCACAATAATGGCATACAAGAAAAGGTAAACTTAAAGACGAACGTTGACAAATTATTAATTATGTGTGCCAATTATCAATCAATACATGCTATTTCAGTATTAAAAGTTGCTAGAAATAAGCAAATAGTGTGGAGTACAGCTGTGTAGAGCATTATGTATAATTATTATTATTCTTTTGAGTCCTGAGTGGAACATCGGGCTTCAACAGCACAACTCCATTTTTTCCTGTTCCCTGAAATCCCCTTCATCTGCCCCTATGATTGTTCAGAAGCTTTCACATCGTGCATTTCAGGACCAAGGAACTACACCCAACTCGTCTTTTCTCAAAAGGGGTCAAATTGACTCGTGGCCCGATGGACAATATCACCTGACAGTCTTCTCAGTATTTGTTCAGTCCATTTCCATTTTTTCCGTGCTGAGTGATAGGTTCTTAAATAGATTGTTCCCAATTTCTTGTTTCTAATTCCTTTTGGTCATCTGTTAGAAATGCTTTTCGTGACACGCCAAGTTTCTGACCCATACAAAAGAACTGACAGACTTAACATTAGTGTTTAAAATCCAAGTCATGTTCTTTCTTCTGAGTTCAACGGACTTCTACACTGATATCGCCTTGATGATTGTCCGCTTCGCCTTTCCGATTGTGATTTTGACATCCTCAACCGTGGAGTTGGCTGTATTTGAAATGATACTGCCTAAATAAGTGAAGGAAGTGACCTCTTTCAAATATCTTCCGTTGAAAGTGATTGATGCTTGTTGTTGTCGTCCGTTGGTTATCTTCATCACCTCTGTCTTCTCTATACTCCCTTAAAGTTCTATCTTTGCTGCTTCTTCACCTAGTTTGTTGACTTTCACTTGTAAGTCTTCGAATTTATGTGACATTGGACACAAATCTCCCTTGAAGTCCAGATTATCTAGTATCTTTAAATCTTGCTCACTTTCAGTACAGTGAAAATTCTGAAATGGATGCCTCATGTTTTATGTACACAAAATACTAAATAAGCTAAACAATTTAGATAATTTAGTCAATTTGTTAAAATTTCATCATGAAATCCGACAACTAAGACTTAAAACTAATTTGATATTTAACCACTAACTTCTAAAATAATCATACTGTATCAAAAGTTAAGTAATTCTGTCCAAAATCGTATTTTTTAACCCTAACATTGTAAGTTTATCAGTTTCAAAGGAGCAACCTTTCTTTTACAGTATTTCACATTCGGATAACATCATCCTTTATAAAGAATGGAAAAGATTTATGCAAGTAAACCTTCAAAATCGTATAAGCCGAAGCAACTCGGTCAGACTGCGCAGATTTGTGCCTTTTGTGATTAGTCGTACTAGTCGTATATTATCCACCAGTGCTAATTATCCAGGCAAATCTCAGAAGGTGGATCGATTCCGACACTTTAACTAACAGTTAATATATATATATATACATATATTCCGCAGTGTAAATAAAATCTTCTGTGAATTCCTATTATTTCACAAAACTTACAGGATAAAACAGTCAGAAGAGTTACGGAATGACAATTAATCCACTACCCTGTGATATTCAATTGTTTTCCTGCAAAAGTTACGTAACTCTTCGACAAAATTAGTTCCACTTAGCTCAACTGATTCGATTTAAATTTCCCTCATCTTTTTTGCATAGATGTCGTTTAAAACTTTTAGATTATTTCTATTTACAAACCATGAGAACAGTTAAGACTTGGAATAATGATGGGTTGGTCTCTGTGTTAAAAAAACAACGGTGTGGAGTTGTTATTAAACCTTGACTACCATATATTTTGCGAGCTCCCCTCTTTTTTTACGTTTAATATTATTAGTTTTACGCTGGAAGGATCCCAGTATGAGTTTAGCATAATTAATGCACATTTCACAAGTGACTCTGTGTTTCGCAGGATTCATTTGCCTACCAGTCAACCTTTAGAACTAAAATGACAGAAGGAAAATCTATGATTCCATATCTTCATATTGTTATTATCTTTCCAAAGTTCTTATGAAATATGGCTTCTAAACGATTAACGTCTGGACGTATAGTTTAGTAATGGGTAAGACGTATCTCATCAGTTGATGAATTGTTTTGTGAATAAAAAAGCCAGATTTTTATTTACCAATAGGATAATAGGTACAAGAATACAGTTACTTGAATTCACGCATGACTTGTGATTACCAGAATAGAAATATGATAATATCCAACAGAAATTATGGTCTATTAAAAGTAAAACATAGAGAACAATTTTATAAATAAACCCTATTCAGTTTACATCTGTCTGTCTGTCTGGATTCAATATAGAACTTGGCACCGAAGTGCAGCAGTTCGAGTTGCCACGTTCCAAATAGCACACATGGAAGACAAGAAGATGAGTGCAGGGAATCAATAGAGTTTTGACAAGTATAAGAGTGAAACAGAATGAGTAATGGTAGAAAGGAGTATGAAGGTTAAAGAGACTGAATACATCTGCGCCATTGACAACGACTTTGAGCCATGTCACCTATTGTCTCCAGCCATTGATTCTTAGAGTCCCGAGGGCCCCAACCCGGAAGTCTGCATCTCCCTACCTGACTGAGTTTAACTGTCAAGTTTACATAGGTAATATTTGTTTATTATTTTACCTGAATTAATGTAAGGAAGAGGGTAAAATGCGGATTTTCTTGCCATAAAGTTATTAAACATAAAAAGATACAGTCAGATTTTCTTAAGTAGTAATATTATACAGTAGGCATGACGAAGTTATTCATTTTTTTCATAAGAAATAAATGTACAAAACAAAATTAACTTTTATTCAACAACTGAACAACTCTATAGCATGAACATAATAAATGCTTCATGCAATAAAAAGGGTATCTGACATTTAATTTCCCCAAAGGCTATCACAGCAAGACAAAAAAATAACTTCAAGCGATCCTTACCTGCATTCAAATGTAAATTAGATCGTTCTACAGATTTGGGCTGTAAAAACAAATCCCATCGTACACCTTCTACACCATGCATTTTGATTTTCTCAATACATTGTTGTAAATAGTTTAAATGATCAATAGGGCGGTGATACATTAATCCTGTCATTAAACACTAAATAATAAGGATGGAATCAACCAAAATAAATGCATATCAGATATTTTCAAAATGAAAACGCGAAGACGCCTTTTAAAAAATGTGTTATAGGAAAATAATGAGGTTCCTGAGAACCTCTATATGAAAAAAGACAAAACAACGAAATGTTTTTCCGTGATTTTCACTAAAAATTATATTTGAGAAGTTTTGCAAAGATAGTTTAATAAAAATCGACGGAAACATAAGCTAGCAGTTTAATTTATCAATCCCAAATTAGACATTTTTGGACTTTCATTGATCTAAGGGGATGATACGAAAACATAACGTCAGTAGACTGATTATGATTTCATAAAACCGAGACCTCATGTAATACTGTGATCAAAATGTGCTTGAAAATGTGTAAGATATAACCAACACATACTGATAATTAGTGTCAGCATAAATGACGCTATGCAATATACCCATCATCCACCAGCTACTAAAATTGCCAAGGGAAGAAATGTGAATTGTATCTGTCTTTCTGAAATGTTTTATCATATCGTCTTCCAATGCACAGTGTGGAAATGAATCAACCAATAAATCTGAAATCTGTATTGAAGTTTGTGCTTTATAATTCACTACAAAAAGTGACTATCTCACAAAATATATTTCTAATAATAACCTGGAACTCTTTAGAGCTCTTTCGAATAATCATCGATTATAGACCTAGGTGTTTGACATTCAAGATGAACAACACCAACCTAAACATAACTTTGACCAGTTTTAAACAACTAGAGGAATTAACAGTGGTTTTTTAGGATCCTAGAAAAATGAAATGCCTAAAAATATCCTATCAAAACAGTTTCTAATTAAATTCCTTCGAAAATTCCTGTTTCAGAAAAAAAATAAAGAAAAGTGGACGTTTACTGACAAAGAGGCTTCTAATCAGTTGATGCATTAATTTCGTAAAATTTTCGTTGAGACAAATATTATTTTATTTTTTTTTTATTTTGATTTACAGCTTGATTCCACACCGTATTTTCAGTACAAGTATGGAATTTTCAGCATGGATATCGGTTGCCCAAATTCAGGCATACCATAGATATCGGGTGTGCGCCGGCAGGGGATCGAACCCCGGACCATGTGCATGGTCGGCGAGAGTACTAACCACTGTGCCACCGACGCATTCTACCTGGCAATAGTTCCTTACTCCACCGCTGCTTCTCACATATATGATTCCCCTACTTGGTGAGAGTTGCAGTTTGTATATGTAACTGCACAACTTCGTCATTATTTTAAACATCGTTACAATTATTCATCAATTCATAAACATCAATGATTATAATTACAGATTATTCGAATAAACTCAGCAGTACCAATTATGGATAAAATTTATTTTGATAAAGTCACACATTGTTATACAGTAATATTTACTGGTTATGTTTCGAGCACAACTTATTGCTCATAATCATGGCAAGGTACTCACTCAACTTTTATTCATCAACCAGTTTTTACTCATGTATATAAATGAAGCGAGAAAGTTGTGTACCTTTATATGCAATAAATTATGCTCGAAACGGCATCAGGTTATATTACTGTATAATATGGCGTCACTTTATCAAAACACATTCTATCCTTAATGAAATTATACTCTACCACAGTGCCAAAGTCTTATTATTATAGCATTATTATCTGTGATCTTAATTTGCGGTTTTGAATCCTGATTAGTAATTACCTACAGTGAGTATTTTGCTCAAACTCTGCTTGTTACTAGGACACTTAAGTACAGTGGTTTCTTGACTGGGTCACATGGCTCGAAATCTCAACTTGTGAATCAACGAACCTCAAAAAGCTGTGGGATTCCATTTTTAACCAGATATTCCTTTGTTTCAACCATGTCAACACCTGGACGTTTAGTCGTCATTTCTAATGTCCCGAGCAATAAGTTACATTAGAAACCGACTCATAAAAACAAATTTCAATATACAATTTATTTCCAATGTACAATATCATTTTTAACGAGCTAGTGTGAGCCAATTTGATTTTTTGTGCTCGCTTCTTGGTTGTGAGGTAAAGTTTCCCGGTCTTTGGTAAACTACTATTAGTTCTCACCAGCACTTTACTGTCATAACTTAGGTCGACTTCAAAAGGAGTGATGTTGATATTAATTAAATTTAGTTTGTAGTATGTGGTGTTTTAAGACAGTGTTGCTACGGCAAATGGAGTTGATCCTTTCACCAGTTAGTCATCCTGTGTCATTGAAAAAAGAGATAATAACATATAATTATTGTAGGTTATGTAGACTAAAACAAGAAGAATAAAAAGGAAGAAAACATATAAAGGCAGCTAGTGAAATTTCAAATTGTTGTATATATATTTCGTATATATACATACATATACATATACATAATATTAATAGTGTTTGGGTGGTAATGATTGGAGTAAACAGGAGAGTAAAACAAGACAGAATGTGAAGTAAGACGATGAGTTTAGATGTCAACCGGTTAATATTGTGTAAGATTTTTAGGGGATGGGCCGATTGGAGGCAGTCCTTGTATCTCTGCATGATCGTTCAGCCTTCGCTTAAAGCTGTCCACGGAAGATGCCTTGTCTACGTCTACCGGTAAGGAGTTCCAGAGAGGGTAAAGAAATGGGGGCGCACTCGAGTCTTCGTCCCCTGGTGAACTATCCTTCCGGGATTTCCATGAAGAACATGGAGGAATACCTTTGTTCGGGTGATTTTGGTCATTCGTTATCTTGTAGAAGGTTATAAGACCCCCCTAAGCCGACGGTAGATAAGTGTGAATAGGCCTATTTCTTCAGCCTTTCATCATACGATTCATTTCGGAGACAAACCACTCCTTTTTCGCCATCTTTTGACTCTTTCCAGGGGATTTGCGTCTCCTCTAGGCATTGATATTATGCACCTCTATGTGTGGTCTGACGTGTGTTTTGTACAACCTTAGAAAGAGCTCAGGAGTGAGCGCACATTACTGTTTATGTGTAAAGTGTATGACCGCATATGCCCTCACTACATCCCCCGTGTTATTCAAGCTTGTGTCAATTTTTCAGTTAGAACTACACCAAAGTTACGCTCCGACGTTGTGTAGGACAGGCTTTCGTCGCACGGAGCGTAACTTGCATTCTGCAGTCTACAGGTGTGTAATTTCACTACTTTGCACTTTTTGAAGTTGAAAGTCATACCATTGGCCACCGCCTAGTCTTCCAGAAGCGTTTGGTATGCCTGCAGCCTGCCTAAGTCTCTCAAGCAGTTTACCGCTCTTCGAATCTTTGCGTTGTCAGAGTAAAGAAAAGTCGGGCAGCTTAGACAAAATTCAGAAACAGCAGTGGCCCCAGGAAAGAGCCCTGTGACACTCTTTATGACTATTTGTGACAGAATGATCGGCCTCGACTGATCTAAGTGCAGAATTTCCTTTCATCTAGGTATTCCTTCAACCATTACAGAAGTGGTGCACCTATACCTAGCTTACTTGTCTTGTGTAGGAGAAGGTCGTGGTGAACTCTGTCAAATTCCTTCTAGAAGTCTAGGAAGAACATATGGACAGGAATATTCATGTCCCAGCATGATGCTCAATGGTTCCAAGTTGATAGCAGGTTTGTTACACCATGTGCCTCATGGAGTCTATTAATCCTGTCTTTAGGTATTCCCTTATGTGATCATTAGTTATACTCTTCAGTATTTCTGATGCCGCTGGGAGTAGCACTACTGTAACTCGAGCCATTTTGCTTGTCCATAACCTTGAAGATCGGGGAAAAATTGCCCTTTTCAACTCCCCTGGCAGTTTCCCCAAATCCACCGAGTGTTGGAACAAGTCGCAGAAGGGCTAACACAGGGATTCGGTGCACTGTTTCAGAACAGATGGCCTGAGGTCATCACAGCCTGGGGACTTCCCAGATGTGAGTCTCTGTAGCTTCCCTAGTAGTATAGTCGGTTTTATTTGAGGCGCGACCACTTGGTTCTCCTCCGGTGAAATAGTAGTGCCGCCATCTTGGTCCTCACCAGTAATGCTCGCACTGCTGTTTAACTGTTTGGCGAAGGCTAGATTGAATGTTTCAGCCATTTCAAGACCAGTGAAGTATTGACAGTTTAAACCTACTAATGTACATGTCCCCTGGTTGGTTGTCTTCCTTTCCGACATGAATCGGTACAAGCTTTTTTGGGTTTACTAGGAGTTTTTGGAAATTTTAGCCTGGAATGATCTCCTGTCACTCCTGACTGTTGTGTTGCACCGGTTCGTGAGTTCCAGGTATGCGTCGTGGTCGGTGTGACTCTTGGATACTCGCCACGTAAACCAAGCCTTCCTCTCCGCTTGTATGATACATTGCGTACCTCTCTTCAGCCATGATGACCTTTCTTGGCTGCGTCGGGAGTAAATGGACGGTATCTGAGATTGCTGTGTGAATAATCTCTCTTGCCACTTCCCAGTGTTCATCCGCAGACAACTCATCCCACACTAAGGGCCATTCTGGGTCAGACTAAAGCCTCCGCACTTCAGCACATTCCGCCTCGTTATAGCACAGACATGCTTGCGTAGCGTCCCACTGCAAGTGCTCACGGAGAACAAGATCGCAACCTATGACTGCATGGTCACTACTTCCTAGAGGAGTCTTGATCTGCACCTTTTCAACGAGTAGTTGGTCACTAGTTAGAATAAAATCTAGTTTCGATGACTTTCCACTAGGGCCCCACCTAGTGTCGTCTGCAACACCCTCAATCAGTCATGTATTTCGAATGATTTGCATCAGATTTCGGCCAAATTTTCCCTGAGCACACCCAGAGCCAAAGTTCAGTGATGGGGCATTGAAATCTGCAGCTATGGTGATTTGTTAATAGTCCAAGTCCCGTATCCCTGTGATAGTGCCGAGCAGTAGCTGGTTGTGCACTGCCCCACAGGTGGGTGATTAGTAGATGCTGCATACGGTGGAGTGACATCATATGGAGTCTGGGTGGTTAGTAAGTGCTGATTCCGTTGCACGTACTCATTTAAGTCACCTGCCGAAGCATACAGCAG